GAAAAGCTTTTGTTACACGTGTATTGGAAAACATTCATTTTCAGAGATTCATCCGTTCATAATACATAGCTACCCCTTTCAATATTAAACACGTAATTAATATTGGAAGGGATTTAATATTAATAGTTATAGAAATTGAAGCATGAAATTTTATATAATCTTTTACTGACAGCGTAATAAGCATATCGTTAGTGACTTACTCCCTTACTAATAAAACTTACACGCTCGTTGAACAGTGTTTTAAAGTGACGTTTAGTATGGAAATGTCATTTTAAAACATTGATCAACAACTGTGTAACTTTTTATTAGTAAGGGGGTTAGTGCCTACGATTCTTCAATTAATCGTCTTTAAAATGAAATTCTGAAAGCGTGCCGGTGCCTGTAATAATCGGGTTCTTATAACTTGTAATAATTTCATCGTGTATTATCTTCCGTTATAGGATAACTTTTCATTAAGCCTACTTTATCTTTGCTTTACAGCTATGAATATTGTACAATATAATATATAATGAATTGTTTTAGTAGGTATCGTCCTATCAAAACCTACTTATTTAATTAAAGATGTAAGGTATTTAAAGATGGATAGCTAAGTAAAATTCTACTCGTATAAAAATGCCTTATCATGAAAGGACAATAAAGAATCTACCGTCAACAACTTAAAAATCAAAGCAGCTTTTGGTAAAAATATTTAACTTCAACAATTTTAAGTGGTAACTTTAAACAGAGATAAAAACGTCATTTCAGAATACCTAGTCTACAGTAAAGTAGGCTTACCTAGGCTCTACTTACATTAGAAAGTTAACTGTATTTAGGCTATACCTACCTAATACTTAGGCCATGACGTTTTTATTGCATTATAACCAAGGTAACAAACGTCATTTTACTTTGAACTGTACAAATTATATCATTTATGTAAATATTTATTGAATGTCTTTATTTAGTAAAGTTAGTTAACTAACTGAAGTTAAAGTGAACTGATGAGTCACGTTATAAGTTAGCAAGGAAAGGCTGAGTGCAACAGGTTTGTTTTACTTACCTACTTCCATGTGTCCGTTCAGGAACTTTACTTGTGCTCAACAGGTGCCAGGATGGCAGTTCTTATATAAAGACCCCAAATAACCACGTCTTTTGGTTTCTTAGGCTGAGTTGCACCACCTTATTTTAACCATGACTATAACCATAACGGTGTTATTTATATGGAGTTTGTTAAAGTTAAAGTACCACCGCTACATTGTCGATATTCCACCAGCTCGCACTAAGTGTTTCGATGACTGTTTTTTAATGTGAACAGCTAGGGACTGGAATTCGCTGCCTGCTGCTGTCTTTCCTGAACACTATAATCCGGGCCTTTTCAAGGCGAGAGTGAATAGGCACTTACATGGCAGATATTATTATGTACCATCCTAGACTGCATCTCACTTAAAACCAGGTGCGATTGTGATCAAATACCTGCCTTGTCATTCATTAAAAAAATAAGATGGTGATGGTGCCTTAGAATTAATGTAAGACGCTACATTAGAAGTAAATTGAGTAAAGTAGCCGTTCTTCTTGTGTAGGATGTAATAGAGAATCTAAAATGTAGAGTCATAACCAAAACAAAACAATATCTGGTCCTAACGGAAACCCTAAGAGCATAATGTGAACTAAATTACCAAATGCTCTAGTTTCATAGTTGAATAGAAAATAAAAAGCTCATATGTAAGCTTTTTCTAGAGATCTTTTCAAACCTTAAAATGATGAAAACGCTCTTGAGGAAGTTATTGAACATTTTAAATACACAAATTACTTTACTTATTTGATTTTTGCAAGTTGCAATTCCAATTTTACATGAACCATCGGACTTTGCCCGCTGCGGCCGCTGCGTTGGCCTTTTATCGTTTTTTGTGCACTTCCCTGAAACTTAGTCTTATAGATTTCCGTTGTTGATAGTGATTTATTTTTGTGAGATATACCTACATTAAACTTAGGTACGTATTATACTTGCTTACTTTATAACATTTCATAATGTATTAGTCTGACGAATACTTACTCCATTTGATCCGCAAACGAAAACCATTAATTATTTAGTACGTTACAAGGCTGCAAGGTTCCGTACTTCTGCTTTGTGAAATCCAATTGCAATCGCATACGTGGAATTGATTGAGACGGCGACACGGCTGCTAATGGCACGGCTTCAATGGCGATCTAATTTGTGGAAAGGGCAGAGGGTAGATAGATATGTATATTACTATCCGTTCGCTTTAAGTTTGCCGCTGGCGATATGAAGTCACTCGAAGAGAAGCGTCTATAACTATAAGAAATTATATTTAAAATATTTTTTATTTATTAATATTAATAAAAAATGTGTATTTGCGTAAAATAAGACACATTAATTGCGTTTAATCACTAACTAACTGCATTTAATCGCGGCGCGGTTGGAGGAGGGGACGCGCATTCCACGGACCGGCAAACTTAGCGCGAAGGGGGTTGTATGAACTTGTATGTACGGTAGATTATAACCGTGCTGTAAGCAATCTTTTTTCAAGAGAGAGCTGAAAATCAGTGTTCTGCTCTTTTTAGAGCAGTATTTATTATCATTATTATGAAAAACTTTATTGCTTTGGATCTATCTGTAAGCTCACTTGTATTTTAAATAACTAAATAAATTGCACACAAAAAAATGCAGTAAAAAAGGCGAACTTATTGCCTCATACAATTCTCTCCCAGTTGACTCATTTATTGTCCCGAAGTAGTGGTAGGGTTAATACTAGGACGTGTAAGTGCTTTTTAAAAGCCTGTTTGAAAAAATAAATGATTTTTTTTTTATGGCATTTGGGCCAAACAGAAAATTAAAGTTGGTGGTGCAAAAATAATTACTAAATTTTTAAGACCACTTCTCCTCCACCGATTGAGCTGAGGCATACTTATGTAAGTACGATGACAATGCAATGTTATGGTATCGTTGAGCTGGTCTGATGATGGAGTCAGGAGGTGGCCATAGGAACTCCTAAACGGAAAGGCGGAACCTCATCGAGTTTGGGTTTGTTGGATTTGTCTTTTCGAGCACTTTAGTGCTAGATGATCTCCAGGGCTCTGAGATTGAGATACAACTAAAAAGTGTAAAATAAAATTTAAATAAAAAAAAAACTTTTTTAAAAAGCTTTATTCTGAAATGCAGTTGTACTAAAACGAAAAAAATAATTGTATGCTAGGTTTAAAATTAAATAAATAATTTCTAAAGCTTGTAGCGCAAACTGAAAAAAGAGGATAAATTCCATGCGCGATACAAGCTTTCGAAATTATTAATTTAAACCTAGCATACAATTATTTTTTTCGTTTTAGTACATTTTAGAATAAAGCTTGCAGTTTTTTTTATTTATTGCTTGTAATGTAATGTCACTATTTTTTCTGCTACTCCTGTGCTTGTTACTCTTTTAAGCTTTTTGCTTATTGTGTGTCAATGTGTTTTGAAAATACACCATTTATCTATCTAGAAGGTATGTTATATGACTTCTAACTTGGATAAGAATACTGTGGAAATATGATTCTTATCGCAATAAACTAACGTCAGTCGTATTTTATACTTAAGGCCGGGTAACAGAGAAAATGGCGAAAATGAGGTTTTCATTTTTCATTTTTGAGGTACTAAACAGTAAAATAAAAGGCTAAAATTTTTTTTGGGCATAGTTGAGGATATTTTCTAGGGCTATTAACGGATGGAAACACGATTTGATGAAGTTGACTCGATACAATAAATTCCCAAAGTTACCTCTATTCGTTTTCTAATTATGGTTTTATTTTTAAAATAAGCGATTTGAGATTCTGAATCTTTTACTAAACTAAAGTTCAGAAATAACTTGAGGGCTTTTAACGGATGAAATTTTTATATTGCGTCTTATTTAGTTACTATGTTAAAAAATGTGGAAAAAATCGCCTATGACGGCTTGGACAATCTCAATCAGTCGCGCGGTGGCGCTTACGGAGGACGGACGCGTGCCAGTTTTTTGGCCGTGACAGTTCTCGATTTGTCAATATTTTTGACAATGATGACTTTGATGAGTCACAGTATAATAATACCAGTGTTACTGGAGAAAGCTAAAATTTTTGATAATTAAGAATTCTGAATTTTGTCTACCTATTGAAATTGAAATCGTTGGCATCCTTTTAAACTAAGACTCTACTCAAACAACTGGCACGTTTGCACTAATTCAAAAAACGGCTACCGCAAAGCCAGTATGGTCTGAGGATAACTTCGTATCGTACTTTAAACTCAACTAAATGTCATTCACTCTAAATACATTTTAAAGCGCAAAATTATAAAATCAGTGCGTGGCGAGGGAATGACGCTAAAAGCTGTAGACCATTTTTCAACTAAAGAAAATCAAATTATTGTTTATTGAAACCGCAAAATATTAATAGAATTTGATGTAATATACATTTAAATACATTATTCGTTAATTAAAACAAAGGATAAAGTTGATGTTTTTTATAAATGTGGGTCCCAAAACACAAACTTTTGGAGTACGGACATGCCTAGGGAATGACGTTTTGGGTCGTTCAAAAGTAATTTAAGATGTTTTAAAAATAGTTTCAAAAAATATAAATGGGTGATGAATAAAGCACATTGCGAGCTGTTATTTAACAATTTTGGAATAAAATATTAACAAATATTTCATGTGAAATGTGGCGCGGACTAAGAGTTGACATATTTTTGTGGAATGACCCATAATACAAAATAATGTAGACTTCAGATATGAATATACATCTTTATTTACTTCATGAAGTTACAACAAAAATATATCAATCCTCAAAACACCATACCATAACTATATCCTTAAAATAATATTGCAATGTCATTAGGTAACATGAAATAAAATTCCTAACCCTTAAATGCTAATTGAAATGTAAATTGTGTACACCATATTTGATCGTTCCATTACTATAATCAGTGAACGTGAGTAAGTAATAATATACGAATTTCTTTAACTGTTTGCATTAATCTCGTTTTATCTCGTGGCATTGAATTTAATGTACAATGTATCTCTTTGTAAATATTACCAAAATAGACAAGATTTTATGAGCACATTTTATAAGAAAAAAGGGTAACAATATTGGTTTCTTGCGCTGCTTTTTTTGCACTTGTCGACATTATTTTCCCGAACCAGTGGTAGTGTTAATGCAAAAAATATTGGGATATGTAAAAGTGCTATTTAAAAAGCCACCTTAGTGAAATAAATGAATTTATTTTACAGTTTTGCCATCTGCATCTGTTTGGTGGCGATTTTGTTGACGGTGACGTGGGCTTCGTCGTAGTAAGGGTTGAAATGCTCTTGCACCTTCTTGGCCCACGTCGCTATGGCGGGGTAGTGCTCTTTGGGGTCGTAGCCTGCCATCCCTGTGGGTAATAATAATAAGTATTAATAAGCCTTTTGATTCTGAACTTGGCTACATAATAATAACAAAATATGTTATAAAATATGTTAAATATTAAGTTCTGTGTTATAAAATATCCCGAAGCTCAGTATGCCTCTTGGCATAGGCCTCCTCCAACGATTTCCATTGGATCGTGTCGCGTGGGTAAATGACTGTTTAAATACAGGATTGAGAATATGATAATGGTTGAAAAAGGTTAACTACACTAATGATAATGTTTTGGGGTTGGTTAGGCAGAATGCTATAACTTGTAATTGAAACCTGAAACTGTAGGTTTAACAAAATCACAATTTAACGGGTCCGTATTTATACGCAGCACACAAGTCTGCAGTCAGGGCGTTGCCGGGCACTAACTCCGTGTCCTGCCCGAGCCGTTTCTTGTTGAAGTCTTCGAAAACCTATGTTCGTCCTGTGTGAACAAATAACACTCAGTTTTACAGCTCCGCCGCAGCGAACAAATCGGCAACAGTCAGGGTGTCGCCGGCAACGAACTGGTTGCGGATGCCGAGCCACTTCTCGTCGAACTCGAAAAAACTCTCTTACTACGATAAAATACGAGTACACACAGCCCGTAGGTTACTTACTCGGTTTTTCTAGCTCCGTGGCAGCGAACAAGTCGGCAACAGTCAGGGTGTCGCCGGCTACGAATTGGTTGTGGATCCCGAGCCACTTTCACGTCGAAATTGAAAGTCTTTTACTGCGATAAAAAACGAGTAACTCACAGCCCGTTAATAACTTACTCGGTTGTTGTAACTCCGTCGCAGCGAACAAACGGCAACAGTCAGGGTGTCGCCGGCTACGAATTGGTTGCGGATCCCGAGCCACTTATCGTCGAAGTATTTAAGAACCTACGGATATAAAAAACGAAATTTTCTCTTTTTTTGATGAAATAACTTACGCGGTTGTTAAAGCTCCATCGCAGCGAACAAGTCGGCAACAGTCAGGGTGTCGCCGGTTACGAATTGGTTGCGGATCCCGAGCCACTTATCGTCGAAGTAATTGAGAACCTACGGCTATAAAAAATAAAAGTTTCTCTTTTTTTTATGAAATAACTTACGCGGTTGTTCTAGCTCCGTGGCAGCGAACAAGTCGGCAACAGTCAGGGTGTCGCCGGTTACGAATTGGTTGCGGATCCCGAGCCACTTATCGTCGAAGTAATTGAGAACCTACGGCTATAAAAAATAAAAGTTTCTCTTTTTTTTATGAAATAACTTACGCGGTTGTTCTAGCTCCGTGGCAGCGAACAAGTCGGCAACAGTCAGGGTGTCGCCGGTTACGAATTGGTTGCGGATCCCGAGCCACTTATCGTCGAAGTAATTGAGAACCTACGGCTATAAAAAATAAAAGTTTCTCTTTTTTTTATGAAATAACTTACGCGGTTGTTCTAGCTCCGTGGCAGCGAACAAGTCGGCAACAGTCAGGGTGTCGCCGGTTACGAATTGGTTGCGGATCCCGAGCCACTTATCGTCGAAGTAATTGAGAACCTACGGCTATAAAAAATAAAAGTTTCTCTTTTTTTTATGAAATAACTTACGCGGTTGTTCTAGCTCCGTGGCAGCGAACAAATCGGCAACAGTCAGGGTGTCGCCGACTACGAATTGGTTGCGGATTCCGAGCCACTTCTGGTCGAAGTCGTCGAGCGCTCGCAACATGCGACGCTTGTAGCCCGCTAGCGTCTTTTCGTCTGTTTGCCTCCCGAGTAGAGCGGGCTCCAAGCTCTGTTAACGCCAAGTTTAGTAAGAATTTGTTTTGCTCTACGCCCTTCAGCGACAGTCCATATCCAAAAAGAGTGTTTTTTTGGCACATGAAATATTTCAATGAATAATAAGCAAACAACTGTATTACATTTACCTTTTTCATTATTTTCATTAATTTACCACTATTTGGTACTAAATTTTTAATTTTCATTACTTTGCGATCTTTTTGTATTGTTTTGAATCTGGCGCTCTGCATTAAAGTCGCGCGCGAAGTGTAAGGCCCTTTTCACATGGGACGTGTGAAAAGGGCCTAAGGGTGGGTTGCACCATCTTACTTTAGCTTTGACAAACGTCAAAAATCTGTCAAACTCCATACAAAAAGCACCGGTTATCGTTATAGTTACGGTCAAAGTTAGGTGGTGCAACTCAGCCTAAGTATTTGCTTACTGTTGTTTTTTAAATGTTTGAAAAACCAAATTATAGTTTAAGAGAAGGATTTTTTTTTCTGGCCTTGCTGTGTTTTTAAGTACTGATGTGTAAAAATAAAAGCTTGTAAAACCAATATTATCATCTTAATTTTATTTTTTATCTTGAATGCATGAATCTTCCATCTTTGAAGTTTTTAAAAATTGAGCATTTTCTAATTTAGTATGAAACTAGACTTCATACTGATTTTATAGGGCCAAATACTGTGCAAGGGTTAAATCAACAAAGGTATCTTTATTAGATTACAAAGGTCAGAGATAAGAAGATATTATTGTTATCATAACTCATGGACAGTACTGATACTGATGTAAGATAAAAAAAACTACCTATCTAAACATAATGTTATAATAGGCTAGAAGAAAATAATTTAAGAATAGTAGTCCCAAAATAGTAGAAAGAATGTTTTTTTTTTTAAATTTAGATTGCAGTCTGTTAAATAATGAACATGTGAATGTTTTGTATATCGATGAGGAGATACTATAAAAAGAATGCAGTTTCTAAAACATTCAGTAGCCACAGATTGTGTAAGTACATCTGGGTACCAAATGATAAAAAGATAAACAAATAAACCTACCTTAACTCTAAAGTACATGGCACAGTGCCATCGCAGGCCTACATGTTGCCACTCCAAATATTCGTCCACCCGAGCCCGTAGTTTGCTATCTGATGGGTACAAGCTCTCAGGAATCATCTTTTCTTGGGCCAAGTATCTGACTATTGCAACACTATAATCAAAATATCAATATGATTAAATGTTCCTCATCTTTTACCTAATTAATATTTTAAATTATGGAATATTAATGAGCTTAAGTATAGGCAAACCTAATGGCTTGCGTTTTTTTTAGTAATTCATTTCTATTTCGATAAATGGTATAGGTAGGTACTACAAACCTCTCAGATAAAATAAATCCATTGTGGTCAATCACTGGCACTCTCTGCATTCGATTAATTTGATTAGTGAACTCCTCAGAATAATGTTCAGCTAAACCAAAATGAAAAGTATTAAATTTTACTTTAGAGCTGATAGAATTTTCAATCAAAACTTACTCAAACAAAAAGTTGGTTACCTTTCCGGAGATCCACATATTTGGGCTCAAAGTCACATTGGACTTTTTTGAGAAGAATAAATAATGTTCGAGATGGTTGGGACATTAAATCATAATACAATTTTAGCGGCATTTTTTGTTAATTTTAAAGTAAAAACTATCAGCGAACTTCGAAACTTTGCATATAATTTGACAGCCAAAGCATGTCTCATCTGTGGGCCAAAGTACAACTAGTGATGTGATACTGACTGATGTGGCAATGGCGAAAAGGGTGAATGCTGTGTCACACGCAAATGCGAAGTAAACGAGTGTTGTATCGAGTTATCGACTAAAAAATAGGGACACACCAATCAGAATATTCAATTTCAGAAACATCACTATATTTGGCTAAATTGACTAGCTTCCAGAACCGTGAAATTAAAAAATATAAAGTAAAATTTTGCTTGTCTTGTTTGATTGTGGTCTTCTTGCATTTTGATTAAATATTTTCGGCGTCGTCGTTGATTTGTTAGATCTCGCATCGCATTTTTGTTCTTCACATAAAGCATCAATAGTTTTAAGATATAATGGCGTCATTGGACCTGTTGACTCCACATTTATCTAAAATAAAAATACCTGGGCCTCAGCAGCTGATTTACAAAGACGAATGTGTTTATTCTTTCGACAATCCGGTGAGTTGCAAAATGTACTGCTTACTTTCTAACCTCTCATTTAGTTATATTCTTATTGCCGGTAAATAGAACTTAGATAGTAATTAGTTAAAATAATAACAATATTTCTTCAGATTTTAACTATAAAATGTCCAGTATTACCAATGTTATCGCCCACGCCTGAAATATTTTGTCTTATCCTAAGGTCTTATCATCTAATAGAAATCCTTAAATCTAATTATAACAATGAAAATCAAAAGTAATGCAATCTAAACCTACCTTAATAAAATTTGATTTGTTAATTTCTTTGAAAAAAAAATACTAATATAATTTGGTTTTGTTTGGTTAATTTCTTATTAGAAAGAAAGAATGAAACCCTACCCTCTGACCAAAAAATGTTTATTCACTGTCATCAACAATACACTTAATCAACAGTTTTTAAGAATGTGTACATGTTACAATGATACTGAAAAGGTGTGCCACTGATAATACTGAAGATACTAAAAGCATGGTGTTATAGCATCTGCATCTCAGTAGATTATGCTAAGACGCTGGTCTTCCATGAACGCCCAGACATTATAACTGTTTCTCTCCTTATAATTTTAGGTAGTGACAAGTACAGTAGACCCTAGACTTGCAGTAATCTAACTTTTGCAAATAGCTGTTCTACTTACTATCAGATATTTAGAGGAAAAAAAATATTAGCCCTGTTGTTTCTGTATTTTATTAGGTATAAATATTTTTTAAAGAAGTTAACACCTTAACATTTTTGTCTACAAAGTAAAATTAAACCGGTGTTATTGTATTGTCTTTGAAATATTTTGTGTTCATGAAATTCTTGACAGCTTGGTATACATTAGCAATGGTAGTAATTAGAGACGATTTCATTCCATTCATGGAGTACGAGCATAATATCAACGACAAAAATGAATCCAACATCACGGGAGTCCAAAATAACAAATTATAGATCAATTCTCGACTCACATACAACTTTTCATTTGGCCTTTTAGTGTCAATTAAATTTATCTTAGTCAATATAATTGTAGAAATGGTAATCGGTACAAAATAACTAACAATGGCCAATGCAAACATGTATAATAACATTTTACTGTTATCAATATAGCACACTTTTGTACACATTACTTCAGATTTTGGCTGTCGATATATCGGAGAACTTATCACAGTTACATTGCCAACGGTGTTATTTTGCATGCTATTTATTAATCTGTATAAATTGTCCACCACAGAGTTGATTTGAACACTTCTATTTCCATAAATATTTTGATCATTATCATCAAAAGCAATCAAATAATCGGTTGGCTTATGCTTACGAAGTCCCAGAGTGTTGTTTATGGCAAAAGTTTCAAAAAAATTACAAGTTTCGTTGCTCAAAGAAATCATTGCCATGCATGTATCACTCCGCTGTTCGCCCATTGGCAGCATTTTCTCATTCACACCCATTGGGTACATGAATAATCCAAGCAGAATCGGCAAAATCCACTGCAGTGCAATTGCTATCTGTGAGAAGTATCTTTTCCAAAATAAAAAGAAATTCTTGAATTCAAACCTTCCATTTATGGTCCGTTCACGTAAATCCTGGTCTGTGTTTTCCTTTTCTGCTATTTCCTGCATCATAGTATAATGTAGGTAGTTGTCTATAACTAGGCTTACAAAACTGTTTACGAACGACACGACTAATGGCCCGTAACTCATTATGGCCGACCAAATAGTGCATTGTTTAGACTCCCCACGGCTGGTGATCGCCGGTGCGCGCTCATCCATTTCGAACGCTTGAACATTTTCGAGGTTCGATTCGTGTATCGCGCGAGAAACGAACGCTATTCCGATGCACATAAGAAGTACATTTTCTGACAGCAGCACAGATGAGAACTTGTTTCTTTTGATTACTCGACTCAAATTAAACAAACTCAATGAGAATCCACATAGTATTAGAAAAGCGCCTAAGTACAAGTCGGTAGAGTTCAACATTGTCGTCTGCTTGTTGCGGCAGTTTCGGAGAAAATGGCAAAAGTGTGCCCTTATGCTTTGCATGTTTTGCTTTGGGGTGATATGAACTCTTATCTTTATGCTAATTATGGGGGCACTTTTTAAACTACACAGTATACTTTCATTCCTAACTGTAAAATGGTATTGATCTTATGAATTGATACTAGAACAAACATTAATTGATATACTTGTACTCTTAAAATTATTTTTGTTGTTGTTTCAGGAATCCGAGACCGGTATCTACGTGTCTCTCGTCTCGTTCCTCGGGTTTGGCCGCAACTATGTCGAGCAGTACTTCCAGAAGACAGGGAATGCGGTTTTCCTACACATACAGAGGGAGAAAAAACCGGTAACTGCACAGTTCATCTTCAGAACATTTAACATTTTCTTCTTCTATTTTTATACCATTCAATTTTGCTCATGCCTTTCTTAAAACTGAACGAAGCAATCGCGAATTTTTTTCAGACATGCCAAGTATTGCCAAGGCACTCAGTGCTGCAAAAACTTAGTACTTCATTTTTTGCCAGTTTGTATGCTGCAAGAATTTTATACTCGGCTCAAAGACTCATGGCAGGCGGTGTAATAATAAAAGAGTGCATATCATTTTCTCTTTCGCACTCACACTGGTTATGGGTGACTTCACACAGAGGCAGGCACAGCGTTGTTGTTAAATAAAATATTGGCGAGTGTACACCTGTTTCAAAAATTACTTAAGGCCCCGCCTGCCACGAGCCTGCGTCGAGTATAGCTACTTCCATCCAAACCAATTGATTTTGATTTTGAAACTAAGTACTAGTTAATGTTATCACGTTATTTCACAAAAATACACAGGTGCCAGAACCAGAGCAGACCGGCGACGGGCCCGAGAAGAAAATCACACGTCTGGCCATCGGAGTGGAGGGCGGCTTCGACCCCGAGTGCGGGCGGCCTAAGTTCACATACACCGACCACTATGAGGTGGTAGTTCTGCCTGGATTCCACACCTATGCCTGGCCTAACCCAGAACTGCCTGATGTGGTAAGATTCCTTGATTAAACCACAGCTCAAGCTAACCCCTCGTTCTAAACTACAGCGGCGGCGGGGGCGTTCCTTGGAAGTCAATTCGGCCATTCCCACCCTATCGTGACTTGTAAAGTGCAGTTATAGTTCATCACTCAACATCAAGCTCACTCGCCTTCGCGAATTGCAACAACTATAGTTGCAATTGACTTTATTTTGCAACAAAATTGTTTAATCTGATTGTCTACCGTCGTACCGTAATACCCGGACTGTAGATAGCCGGCACTGTTACTTTTTGCAAAGCTCTCACTATCTCATTCATCTTGAGAACCTATAGAGCGACGCTTTGATACTTAGACGCAATTAAAAGAAGTCTTCAATTGCTATGTAGTTGACATGAAGATGTATTTCAAGTTTGAGTGCTTTTTGCAGGTGAAAAAGTCAGTTCAGGCTGTGATCGACGCGGAGTCTCCGTTCAAAATCGCCGAGATGAATGCTCTACAGGGCACCTGGGACGGCGAGACTCGACAAGTGTCCGTGTAAGTTTAGAATTACAATTTCTTTAGCAACTTACGTCATAGTTCACACTTTATACTGTAACAAAATTAATGAGAGTCCCATTGACAGTTCATAAAAAGATTGCCAGAGCTATCTTTTAGCGCTCACCAGTTGGCGCCATTGTAGAGTAAGGTCACTGTCACTTGCTAGTGGCGAAGACAGTGACGTTAAATGGCGCTAAAGCGGTAACAGGACTATCGCATTTGCAATCACCAAGATTAGGCCACTGTAAAGTAGGGTCATGTCAGCTGCTAGTGATGCCAATTTTTGACATTAACGTCATCGTCGAAAGCAACGTATTTGATCAACAATGCCAACTAGATACCGGGTCAGCTCAAAAATTACGTATCGGGAAATAAGAGCGCACTTGAGAAGTGTGATATCTAAAATCCGATCGCCGAGCACATAGAATTTCGTCCAATGACCCCGAGCTATCCTTATCGCTCGCGCGCACTCACTGCGGCCGCCCGTTGCACAGTCGCGACAGCGATAAGGATGGGAAGCTTGGGGTCATTGGACGAAATTCTATGTGCCCGACGACCGGACTTTAGTTGGTATTGTTTATCAAAGTGCAATGTGGTCACTTTTATCACTATATCTGGTAAACTAACACCACTTTTGTCTTTCTCCAGCCACGCAGGGAACCTGAAGCAGCTAGACAACGGCGTGAAGGTGCCGCCGTCTGGCTGGAAGTGCTCCAAGTGCGAGCTCACCAACAACCTGTGGCTCAACCTCACGGACGGCGCCATCCTGTGCGGCCGCCGCTACTTCGACGGCTCGGGCGGGAACGACCACGCGGTTGGTATTACTAGGTTTTTGAGTACACACTGCTAGACCTATACAGGCTTGTATTCACCCCCAAAGAACGCCACAAACACGTAACCCCCACAAATGAAAGCGCGATCTTCCATTTTTTCATCCAGCTTTTTCATGCATTGCGGCCGCCGCTACTTAGACGGCTCGGGCGGGAACGACCACGCGGTCAGTGTTACACTGTCACTCCAGCCACGCAGGGAACCTGAAGCAGCTAGACAACGGCGTGAAGCTGCCGCCTTCTGGCTGGAAGTGCTCCAAGTGCGTGCTACTTCGACGGCTCGGGCGGGAACGACCACGCGGTCAGTGTTACACTGTCACTCCAGCCACGCAGGGAACCTCAAGTAGCTAGACGACGGCGTGAAGATGCCGCCGTCTGGCTGGAAGTGCTCCAAGTGCGAGCTACTTCGACGGCTTGGGCGGGAACGATCACGCGGTTGGTATAACTAGGTTTTTGAGTACACACTGCTAGTCCTAAACAGGCTTGTATTCTCCCCCAAAGAACGCAACAAATACGTAACTGAAATGAAAGCGCGATCTTCCATTTTTTCATCCAGCTTTTTCATGCATTGCGGCCGCCTCTACTTAGACGGCTCAGGCGGGAACGACCACGCGGTCAGTGTTACATTGTCACTCCAGCCACGCAGGGAACCTCAAGTAGCTAGACGACGGCGTGAAGGTGCCGCCTTCTGGCTGGAAGTGCTCCCAGTGCGAGCTACTTCGACGGCTCGGGCGGGAACGACCACGCGGTCAGTGTTACACTGTCACTCCAGCCAGGCAGGGAACCTCAAGTAGCTAGACGACGGCGTGAAGGAGCCGCCGTCTGGCTGGAAGTGCTCCCAGTTCGAGCTACTTCGACGGCTCGGGCGGGAACGACCACGCGGTCAGTGTTACATTGTCACTCCAGCCACGCAGGGAACCTCAAGTAGCTAGACAACGGCGTGAAGGTGCCGCCTTCTGGCTGGAAGTGCTCCAAGTGCGAGCTACTTCGACGGCTCGGGCGGGAACGACCACGCGTTTGGTATTACTAGGTTTTTGAGTACACACTGCTAGACCTAAGCGTCCCCCAAGAAACGTCACAAAGTCAATAACCATATTGTAGAACGTAAGCTTTCCCCACAACGCGTATTGTCCCACTTTTTTCATCCAATTCCTAGCTTCAATAGTTCGCCATCCTGTGCGGCCGCCGCTACTTCGACGGCTCGGGCGGGAACGACCACGCGGTTGGTTGTATTAGGCTTTTTTGTACGCACTGCTAGACCTAAGCGTCCCCCAAGAAACGTCACAAAGCCAATAACAACATTTTAGAACTAGTGATGACAACAGAGGGCGCATCGGCGGGGGAGCGCGGGGTCCCCGCGCCTACACATAAATACGCTGCCGCAACCGCGGCCGCCGCTCACTCATTCCGTACGACCATCGCGCGCGCATCTTAGTCTTGCTGTAATAATATAACCAGTTCAAAAATGCAGTTTTTCATTATAAATCTCCTGTAGGGTTCGAAGTTAGGCTCAACTTAGACCTACGGGGAAGAGCCTGGATGCGGGCAGCGCAGGACCGTTCATTGTGGAAATCCTTGGGGGAGGCCTTTGTCCAGCAGTGGACGTCATTTGGCTGAAACGAACGAACGAACGAACAATGATGCCAAACATTTATCTGTAAACTAACTCCATAAATATTTCTTGTATTATTCTCGTTTGTACTCTGAAACTGAAACTTTTGTCCCTAATAAGTCTCATTTTATTCCTCCAGGTGGAACATTACCGCGAGACCGGCTACCCATTAGCAGTGAAATTGGGCACCATTACAACGGACGGCAAAGGAGACGTGTACTCGTACGCTGAAGACGACATGGTAGAAGACCCTAACCTCGCCGAGCATCTGAAGCACTTTGGGATTAATATCCAACAGCTGCAGAAGGTAAGTTGAACTCTATGCAGCTTGCTTAAAGGGTATTATCCCTTAGCAGTGAAGCCGGGAACCATTATGACGGCAAAAGAGACGTTTACTCGTACGCTGAAGACGATTTGGTAGAAGACCCTAACCTCGCCGAGCATCTGAAGCATTTCGGAATTAACATTCAGCAGCTGCAGAAGGTAAGTTGAACTCTGTGTAAAGTGCATAAAGGTTATAATCCCCTGGCAATAGAGAGGCACCATCACGACAGACGGCAAAGGAGACGTTTACTCGTACGCTGAAGACGACTTGGTAGAAGACCCTAACCTCGCCGAGCATCTGAAGCACTTTGGGACTCACATTCAGCAGCTGTAGAAGGTATTTTGAACTCTATGCAGTTTGCTTAAAGGGTATTATCCCTTAGCAGTGAAGCGGGGGACCATTATGACGGCAAAAGAGACGTTTACTCGTACGCTGAAGACGATTTGGTAGAAGACCCTAACCTCGCCGAGCATCTGAAGCACTTTGGGATCAACATTCAGCTGCTGCAGAAGATAATTTGAACTCTGTGGAAAGTGCATAAAGGTTATTATCCCATGGCAGTGGAGAAGCACAATCACGAAAGACGGCAAAGGAGACGTGTACTCGTACGCTGAAGACGATTTGGTAGAAGACCCTAACCTCGCCGAGCATCTGAAGCACTTTGGGATCAACATTCAGCAGCTGCAGAAGGTAATTTGAACTCTGTGTGAAGTGCATAAAGGTTATTATCGCCTGGCAGTGGAGAGGCACCATCATGACGGACGGCAAAGGAAACGTGTACTCGTAAGCTGAAGACGACATGGTAGAAGACCCTAACCTCGCCGAGCATCTGAAGCATTTTGGAATTAATATTCAACAGCTGCAGAAGGTAAGTTGAACTCTGTGTGAAGTGCATAAAGGTTATTATCGCCTGGCAGTGGAGAGGCACTTTGGGATCAACATTCAGCAGCTGCAGAAGGTAATTTGAACTCTATATAGCTTGCCTAAAGGTGACTGTAAAGGCATTATAAAATCATGATCTCGTTTCGTTTGTATTCTAAAATAGATTCGCGCTGTTATGAAAGAACGAGATGGCTATGGCCATACCTTCCGAAAGAACGCTAGCCAAAAGTACTTTATGCCCGTTTTCACCATCAATCCCTAAGTGATCCCTTTGAAAACAAATTTCCTGTTAAGTGTTGCCATAGGGGTCACTTAAAAATTAGGGATTAATGGTGAAAACGTATAAGATAAAACTTTCCTCCCGTCGCGTGCGCCCGCCTATTTCACGCGTTTTGACCACTTAATAAATAATGAAAATATTTTTGGACATTTTACACTGCGCTTTTAGTCCCAAACTAAGCAAAGCTTGTACTATGGGTACTAGACAACGGATATAAACATACTTAAATATTTTTTTTAAATACATACTTATTATACATAGAAAACACCCAGTCCAAGACAAATACGTAAGTATGTTCATGCACACAAATGTTTGCACTGTGCGGGAATCGAACCCGCAACCTCCGGAATAGTAGTCCGTTTCGAACCACTACACCGGCTATTATAATACCACTGCGCCGCTCATACTATTTATCTTCAGTTACAAACTAATCCATTGTAACCTGCAGACGGACAAATCCATGGTGGAGCTAGAATTGGAGCTGAACCAGCGCACTGGTGAATGGAACACGCTCCAAGAGTCGGGCAGCGAGCTGCGGCCCCTGCACGGGCCCGCGCTCACTGGGCTCAGCAACCTCGGCAACTCCTGCTACATCAACAGCGTCGTGCAGGTAGTATCGTTTCAGCCAAATGACGTCCACTGCTGGACAAAGGCCTCCCCCAAGGTTTTCCACAATGAACGGTCCTGCGCTGCCCGCACCCAGGCTCTTCCCGCGACCTTTACCAGATCGTCGGTCCACCTAGTAGGAGGCCTGCCCACGCTACGTCTTCCAGCCCGTGGTCGCCACTCGAGAACTTTCCTGCCCCAACGCAGGTAGTATACTGATCTGCTAAAGTCCGGTCGCCGAGCTCGTAGAATTTCGTCCAATGACCCCAAGTTACCCATCTTTATCGCTTGCGTGTAATTATATTTCTGACTCACTGCGGCCGTCTGTCGCACATTCGCGACAGCAATATAATTACGCGCCAGCGATAAGGGCGGTTAGCTTGGGGTCATTGGACGAAATTGTACGAGCTCGGCAACCTGACTTTAATAGCTGCTGTAAACAGGCTAGAGTCAGTAACGGCACGCAATAACCACTTGTCACATTGTTATCACGGCGGGCACTACACATCGCTCTTGAATGCAACGCCAAGCCGTTTCTGTGCGACAAAGATGTCAAGGATGCCCCCGCTATCCCCCATGAATGACTAAAGTTTGTAATCGTAATGTCATCTCTGAAATAAACAATAGGGTATTTCACCCCATGTAAGAAAAAATATAAAAATGCATGTCTTTAATAGCTTTCATAAAAACTAAACGGGAAACGTTGATATTCTATATATATAAAAGAAAGTCGTGTTAGTTACTCCACTTATAACTCAAGAACGGCTAAACCGATTTAGCTGAAAATTGTCAGGGAGGTAGTTTAGAGCCAGGAGAAGGGCATAGGATACTTTTTATCCCGTTCGAAATTTAAAAAAAAGTCTGCTTATTTATTGCCATTAAGGCGGAACAAAGTTCGCTGGGTCAGCTAGTTTTACATAAAAGTGCAAATAGAATTTTTAAATTCACTTTTAAAAACGCATCTTTTTTTCAAATCTGTTCTTCAAATGTCTAAAACGCCCATCCGCCATGACGGATCCGCAGTGACGTCACTCCATTAGTAAACAAACAAAAAAAGGTGTAAGACCCTATTGAAGATCATTTTCACTAAAAGTTTAGACATGCCACTTTAGCTTCTAGCTATGGTCTAACATTTAAAAATTGGCTGCTTCATAGGTCCTGTTCCGCATGCCGGACTTCGTTCGGCGCTATGTAGAAGGCGCGCCAGAACTATTCGCCACGTTCCCGGAAGATCCCGTGAATGACTTCAACGTCCAGACGTAAGAACTTGTTATGAGATTACATTTAGGCCCAGAACACACGGTGAAACGTAATGAAGGTTTTCGCGATTGAAAAATCCGCCATATGGCAATACGTAGACGCGAGGTCCAAATGCTGCATGATTGGTTATTTTTGACATGACATTGACAGATATCAAAATCCACCAATCACGCAGCATTTGGACCTCGCGTCTACGTATTGCCATCTGGCGGATTTTTCAATCGCGAAAGCCCTCATTGCAACGAAACTGCAACTTCTAGTTACCATTACAAACCAGTTTGAAACCGGTTTGAAATGGTCGCGTCATGTGTGATCTCTCAACGGAATCTATGGCAGAAACTTAGATGCAACTCAAAAGTAAATAGAAATTGCAGTTTCGTTGCAATTGAGTTTCACCGTGTGTTCTGGACCTTATGAAACCGTTTTGTGTTACAAAAATATTTTTTGTTTAACCCTGAAAATTAGCATTCTGGGAGTGGGTAGTCAATGCGAAAAAACGCTCAACGGTTGGAATGTGCAGGTGTCAAAATGTCCATACGGACCGGCTGTCAGAGTGGCAAAAAGTATGAACGTCGAAATGAGCAATGGTTAAAATGATCTGAAGTTAAAATGTCTTCGGGTTTATTCGAACAAGCGTCTTATTGTATAATAGCTATAGTCTTTTTCACCTAAGATGATCCGTATGACACTTTAAGGTTATTCATATTACGCATACTACATACGCAGAATATTCTTGAAAAAATATTTGTATTTTATCAGCAATATAATAAAAAAATAATTAACTACTTGTCTTGAAATATATAGTAAAATCTGAGTCTATTGATTATATTTTAATTAAATACGATGTAAAAATATTTTTTATTTAATGTACGCAATGTGTGAAACGGAATAGATTTAGTGCTGGGGTATTTGTTGAATAACAAAATCGATTATTTCCGCGGTTCATTAATCGATTGCAGTGAATACTAAGTTATTAAAAACATCACAAAAATCAACTATATTTTTCGATTGTTGACTTTAATAAGCGCATTGAAAATAAATTAAAGTTTTTAATTTAAAGAAATAGAACCAGTACTTTTTAGGAATCGTTTTTTTGAACATGAAGTCTATGGAATTTGAATATTATCAATAAAAAATGTTTCAATAATATTTGTAATTAAAAAAAACATGTTTTTTGTTAAATAACACCTATACAAAATATTTATCTAAAAGTAGGTTTTACTAACTCTTAGAAAAAAATCGATAGATAAATCGCTATGGTTTAGTTATGTGACATCTCTATAACTTTCAAACTCGAAACGTCATACGAATCATCTTACGTGAAAAAGACTATAATGTGAACACGTGTTTAAATGCATCAAGGTAAAAATGTCCAAAAAATATTTATTGGCTTGACTACAAGATCATTGAAAATTTTGATATTTAATTTTATTAATTAAATCATGAGCACAATATATCAGTTGATCATTTTATCTATCACACCTTTTGTTGTACTTGTATTTTGTGATGTGTACCATTTGTCACTAAACCATTGTAACCATGGTAATAATGTACATTTTGACTGGGACTTTTTGACGTTCATACTTTTTGCCACACTGACAGCCGGTCCGTATGGACATTTTGACACCTGCACATTCCAACCGTTGAGCGTTTTTTCGCATTGACTACCCACTCCCAGAATGCAGCGAATCCATGCCTTCACATTATAAAAACGCTGCAGTCGCGCTACTCACGCCCTAATGTAAAAGCGCTCGTAAAGCTCATTCGAATTGCACCAACTATACCCTTTTTTGCAATATTTCATTGTCTCTTCGTTCCACAGCGCCAAACTAGGCGTAGGGCTCCTCTCCGGGCGCTACTCCATCCCAGAAGCAGAGAGCACGCAGGCCGGCGTTGCTTCGTAAAGCTCATTCGAATGAGGGCTATCGTTTTTATACTTAACAGTTGGCACCCCTGGCGATTGACAGAACCTTACTCTACAGTGGCGCCATCTTGATGAGTGCAAATGCGATAGTCCTCCTACCACTTTAGCGCTCACCAGTTGGTGCCACTGTCTTCGCTACTAGCAAGTGACAGGACCTTACTCTACAGTGGCGCTAACTATAAATAATCTTTGGACAATTCTACACAGCGCCAGCTAGCCCCAAAGTAAGCAACTTAATGCTTGTGTTATGGGTGCTAGCTTAACGGATATACTACTTACTTTTTTTTTAAATACATAAATATTATACATAGTCACGCCCAGACCCGTCACAGAAATTATCATTTCAATTTCTGCCCGGCCGGGAATCGAACCCGGGACCTCTCGGCATAGTAGTCCGTTCTGAACCACTACACCAAACGGCTAACTGGTGAGCGCTAAAACGATAGCCCTCATTGCAACAATATACCCTTTTTTGCAGTATTTCATTGTCTCTTCCTTCCACAGCGCCAAACTAGGCGTAGGGCTCCTCTCCGGGCATTATTCTATCCCCGAAGCAGAAGGCACGCAGGCCGGCGTGGCTTCGTAAAGCTCATTCGAATGAGGGCTATCGTTTTTATACTTCAACAGTTGGCACCCCTGGCGATTGACAGGACCTTACTCTACAGTGGCGCCATCTTGATGAGTGCAAATGCGATAGTCCTCCTACCACTTTAGCGCTCACCAGTTGGTGCCACTGTCTTCGCTACTAGCAAGTGACAGGACATTACTCTACAGTGGCGCTAACTGGTGAGCGCTAAAACGATAGCCCTCATTGCAACAATGTACTCTTTTTTTTGCGGTATTTCATTGTCTCTTCGTTCCACAGCGCGAAACTAGGCGTAGGGCTCCTCTCCGGGCGCTATTCGATCCCCGAAGCAGAGGGCACGCAGGCCGGCGTGGCTCCGCATATGTTCCGACAGTTAGTGGGCAAGGCGCACGCCGAATTCGCCACCAAACGGCAGCAGGACGCACACGAGTTCTATCTGCATCTGCTCACGCTTGTTGAGGTAAGAAAATTCAATGAGGGTTTTCGCGAATGAAAGATCCGCTAGATGGCGGGACGTGGATGTGGGGTCTGACTGCTGTGTAATTGGTGGATTTTGACATATCTGTCAATGTCATGTCAAAAATAACTGTAGGGGCCTCGACCGGGAATTGATGAAATGAAGAACGTAGTGGACTGTATTACAGGTTTATTGAAAGAAACTACGTTAATGACAGTTTAGTTGGCAATTATAAACAAGGGAGCGCGCGCGGTGTCTGCGGTGGCGTGAGGTGAAGTGGGCGGCCGATCGCCGCGGGTGCCGCGCGCCCGCGCCTCTGGGCCGAGAGCAGCCGAGGGCAGCCGAAGGTGCTCGAACAATAACCAATCATGCAGCATTTGGACCTCGCGTCTACGTATTGCCATCTGGCGGATTTTTCATTCGCGAAAACCCTAATTGAAAAATAAATAATGACATTGAAATTGCCACGTGAATGTGTCCGCGTTCTTTTGCTTTATTGTTTTTCTTGTGGTGCATTTATGGATTTGTATTGGTGATATTGCAAAAAATCTGTTGCATTTGCTATGCCGGCGACTGTACTTATGTAATGCTGACCATATTTCGTCGTCGTCGTCGAACAACGTCACATTGTTTCATCCGCCTAATCTGTTTTTGGGCATTAAAGTAGCTCCTTAAAAGACTACTATTTTTTTAAATTAATAAACATATCGAAGCTACAGAATCAAACACCGGCGGAAGTGATCATTCTAACGCAGTTTACAGTCGTGTTCTTCTCGTCGTTTTTTATCAATAGATTTTCAATCCGTCGTTCGACAATGACGACGATTTTATGAAAGCGTGTATCGACATTGCGATGCTTCTCCCGAGTTTTGAACAAATCCAGAGGCAGCCTCGTTTAATTTCAATTTGGCTCGCGAGGTTAAAGCGTCTGCCCATCACTAGACTTGCTCGCTTTGCAATGTCGACACGCCTAAAAATAATATTTTTAAAAACAGCATATTATGACGACTCATTCAGGAAAATTCCTAAGTAAGATCAGCCCCCCTAGACAAAACGCACTTTTTGATCGAATCGAAAATCGAATCCGTCAAAACTCCATACAAAAAAGGGGCTTTTCGACCACTTTTCGACTGGTTTGCGATTATAATTTGCACTTTGTCTAGACCCACTTGCCTGTTCATCTCCGCGAGTTTACATCGAAAACAAAACAAGCGCGATGGCACCTCACGTCACACATCATTTTACCGAAGTCAGCCCTATGGCTGCTATGGCGGCTAAATTACACCATATTGTTAATTAAATTGAGCATATTCTTTTTTTAAATACCTTCGCGAAGTAAACCTGTACGTAGTATTTATTATTCTGTGGTAAGATTAGCATTTCTCTTATCTCGTATTAGAGTGACACCAAGAACCTTTGTCCGAACAGCGCCACAGCCGCCACAAGGCGAACCCGGCTGACTGCCTCAAGTTCGCGGTCGAAGAGCGCGTTCAGTGCACAGAGTCCGGCAACGTGCGCTACACCACGCGGCCCGAGCACCACTTGCCGGTGCCAGTGGCGCTGCACGCCGCGTCTAATGCTGACGCTGTGAGAGAGTACGAGCGACGCCGCGCGCAGGCCGAAGCGAGCGGGCAGCGCCTGTGAGTACACAGCTCGTCACTTGTCCAAGTGTCACTAGCGCCAGCTAAAGCCCGGTCCGTGAGCACGTACAATTTTGTCCAATGACCCCTAGCTACCCATCCTTATCGCTCGCGCGTAATTATGTTGCTGTCGCGCTCGCACACTCACTGCGGGTGCCAGTCGCACAGTCGCGACAGCAATATAATTACGCGCGAGCGATAAGGATGGGTAGCTTGGGGTCATTGGACAAAATTCTACGTGCTCACGGACCGGGTTTTAGTATACCGTCCATAACACTTACTACACCCAGTCCCAACGCCGACGTCAAAGAATACAAGAGGCTCAATGCGCAGGCCGAGGCCAGTGGCAGTACATGTAAGTGTGGTTGAAGCTTTACTGTGCGTCACTCGCTAGTCTCTAGCATATAATGCACAGCGAGCGGACAGCGCCATCTACGCTGGATCCAGTGTACCGTCACTAGCGCCGTCCTTAACACTTGCGGCACCCAGTGCCAACGCCGACGTCGTCAAAGAATACAAGAGGCTCCGGCTCCGTGCGCAGTCCAGGACATACGTGTCCAAATCGTGCGTGTATTGATAACAATACAATAATGGCCTTAGCCCGAGCGTCAACGGTGCCCATTTATGCGCCCACAATTTGCGTGTACTGTTGTCGCCATAGCACTCGACCCGAAATGACCCATATACATCATAGTTTTCTCTATAGCCCAAAGGACAATCTGTATCAGGTAATGATAGAAAGAAACCCTTTTATTTACTTCGAGGAAAGTGATAATCTCCGGCAACATAAATCGTAAAAAGATACAACTTCCGAGTCTTATCGGTAGGAAGCGATCTTCACTCTCTGTAAAGCATGCATTGCGCGGCTCACACGACTATGTAGATAGTGTCCATGTAATACAAAGAAAGAAAGAAAGATACATTTATTACAATGGACATCACACAAATACAGGCAATTACATAGACATGACAGTGGCACACAATAATGGAAGAAGAAAAAATAAAAACAAGAGTAAACTGAGCAGTGCCACCCATTCACCAACAAGATGTCCACTGCAACGGGACCCCACTCAGCATATGCCGTGGCTCACGGTGACGAAGGCCACGGCGCTGGTTTTCAGTGTGCCCCATGCCGAGTGAGGGTCACGGACCATTGGTAAAATAAATAAAATAGTAAGCTGCATAAGTGCAACAGGTGACCATATTATTGTTTGTGGTTGCAGCGACCCGTCGCTGGTGGTGCGGCCGCACATCCCGTTCGCGGCGTGCCTGGACAGCTTCATGAAGGAGGAGAGCGTGGAGCAGTTCTTCAGCAGCGCCGTCAACAAGAAGGTCACCGCCCACAAGTGAGTTGGAGACACAAAAATACTGAAAAATAACATAAACAACAACATATTGTTGCTGTTGGTGGTCCTAGTAAGTAAATATCACAACGTCACCATATCATCTGGCAGTAGCGCCGTCAACAAGGTCACCGCCCACAAGTGAGTTGGAGACACAAAAATACTGAAAAATTACATAAACAACAACATATTGTTGCTGTTGGTGGTCCTAGTGAGTAAATATCACAACGTCACCATATCATCTGGCAGTAGCGCCGTCAACAAGAAGGTCACCGCCCACAAGTGAGTTGTAGACACAAAAATACTGAAAAATAACATAAACAACAACATATTGTTGCTGTTGGTGGTCCTAGTAAGTAAATATCACGTCACCATTACATCTGGCAGTGTGACACCGTATCAAAATTTGTTGGGCGGTTGTTCTATAAAACTACGGAACCCTAAAAAGGTCCCCATGTACCCATGATACGGCGGTAGCTACGTCCCTAGATCTATGAATTTATTATCTCACGGCGACTCCGATTTTGAGGCTTCAAACTTATGCAACTAAATATGCGACTATTTCAGAATCACACGGCTCGCCACATTCCCGGACTACCTGCTGATCCAGCTGAAGAAGTTCACCATCAAGGAGGACTGGACGCCCGCAAAGCTTGATGTGGCTGTCGATATGCCATGGGAGGTTCGTAAAGTTTGCAGTTTTGTAGCTAGTGCTGTTGTTGGTCTTGGTCTTTATCAGATAAATTCTCTATCGATTTCCATCAGAATGGCAACAGTTGACGCCGCCAATACAAGCTATGACCTTACTTTTTAGCCTATGCTACTTTTTTTCGGAGGTACTATCGTATTTAAAGGTTAATTGAAAATTAATTGGATTCTTCTTTAAGATAAGTTTTGCCTTCAAATTTAATGCATGGTGTCAACTTAGAATCTATCATCAGAATTCATTCCTTCTGAAATATTTTAGTCATGTACAGTCGCGGAATGAAAAGGTTTGTCACCTTAGTGTCGGTTTTCGCTTGCACTAGGTACTGTAAGAGTCAAACCTGCCAATATAACAGTGCAAGAAACAGTGCTGCTAACATTTAAATAAATATGACGTTTGCTAACGAATAAGGTTTTGCTTGTTTAATTTTCTATCCCATGCAATGTTACAAAATGTAGTTTTTTTTTTATTTAATAGAAATAATAATGGCAGGTTGAACCAACAAGGTTTTAGTTTATCAATTATAATAATCTTGACAAGATAAATCGTCAAACAACTTTCATCTGAATAATTTTGAACTTTACTGAAGAACAGTTAAAGATTATTTTCTCTAACTCGAGATTATTCTGTAACATAGTTTCAAAAGGTAATAATTATGTGCTCGCGATTCGTTGAAGGAATCAATTTGAAAACTGACGAACCTTTTCATTCCGTGACTGTACTAGCTTTCCGCCCGCGGCACTGAAAAACTTTATCGCGCGCGTCCCTGTTTCAAAAACCGAGATAAAAACTATCCTATGTCCTTTCCCGGGACTCGAACTATCTCTATGCCAAATTTCATCAAGATCGGTTCAGTGGTTTAGGCGTGAAAGAGAGACAGACAGAGTTACTTTCGCGTTTATAATATTAGTATAGATTTGGAATATTGATGCCCGTGTTCACCATCAATCCCTAATTTTGAAATTACCGCTATGAAAACAAAGGGTTTTACCAAAGGGGTCACTTTAAAATTAGGGATTGTTGGTGAAAACGGGCATGAATGTTTTTTAGGATTGTCTAAAGTTTCTAATTTACATTATCCAGGTGGATCTCGGCTGTCTGCGCGGGCGCGGCTTGCAGCCCGGCGAAACTCCATTGCCCGACGCGGCGCCCGACACACCTGCGCCTACCTACGACGAATCGCTGCTGTCTGACCTCGTAAGTACTGTAGCTTCATGAAGTCAACCGCCTCTGTGGTCTAGTGGTAAGACCACCTGCTTCAGACGCAGAGGCCGGGTTCGATTCCCAGTGGGTGCAGATTTTTCTGTTCGGTTTGGTTGGTGGTAGGGCTTGTTCTAAGTCCGCCTGGCTAGCTACCACCATCTTACCTAAGTCTGTCGCCATAACAACAATGTTAACAGCATTATTGTGTTCCGGCAGTTAGAGGTAAGATAGCCAGTTCCTCCGTAGTTGAGGATTCCGTCCGGGTGAAGCTCGCTTGCACCTTCGGCTTGATCGTCACTCAGATGAGATACAGGTCAAGAGCTTCCTCGTTGTGGATAAAAAAAAACTTCGAAACTGTTTTATTACTCGTGCCGAAGACTGACGATATTATAACATGAGAGATGTGTTAATCCTTCAAATGGCTCTTGCAAATTACACATTATGAGAAGAGATCTTTGCGACATTCTAGATATTTTGCGAAATGAACATTCTGCTAATAAGCCGTTCACAAATCGTTCATTAAACAGGGTACAAAGTCATACGACATTCCCCCACGCCAATTCACGTCATGTCATTCATTCATATAGTTCCAAAATACTGAACTGTCCTATGCATGACATTGACAGTGGGGCGCCACCGTCAATACAAGAATGCTGGTTCCGATTTTTGCCAGGTTGGAAACCATAGTTGAACCATAGTTGAACGATGGTAGCGCCCCCCTGTCATTTGAGTTTGGTGGGACAGTTCAGCGTGGGTCATCTATAATATTTATTTATTTATTTTATTTATTTATACTTCAGCACACAAAGTAACAAACGCAATATCATTTACATCCGATTACCCGCATCCATAATTATTCCAGTGAAATGTAGTTTCAGTAATTACAAAATAACAACTCGAAACTTTGTTCCATTGCAGTTAGAGATGGGCTTCCCGGTGGAGGCGTGCAAGAAGGCGCTGTACTACACCAACAACAGCGGCATGGAGCCCGCCTCCAACTGGCTCATGGAGCACATGAACGACTGGGACTTCGCCAACGAGTTCCACCCGCCCGGCGCCGCTGCTGGTATGATTTATGATGGATATCCTGGTCCTATTTTTATTGCGCGTGAACATGTCTGCTTGTCCAACTACGACTCAATGAGGGCTATCGTTTTAGCGCTCACCAGTTAGCGCCACTGTAGAAGGTCCTGTCACTTGCTAGTAGCGAAGACAGTGGCGCCAGCTGGTGAGCGCTAAAGTGGTAGGAGGACTATCGCAATTGCACTCATCAAGATGGCGCCACTGTAGAGTAAGGTCCTGTCAATCGCCAGGGGTGCCAACTGTTAAGTATAAAAACGATAGCCCTCATTAGGTTAAGGTCTTCTCATTCCAATGAGGAAAGTATGCAATGAGGAATCTGATGAATAACAGGATCTTAGTATTCTTAGTCTACAGTGCGGCTGTGGCGCCACTCTAATGACCTACTGCTAACGTCACTAGCGAGATATAAGGACCCTACTCTACATTGGGGCAAATCCAGTGTTAATTAAAATGTTTCTCGAAACGTTGGAACGCTGAAACTGCGTTTGATCTTATGTTTCGCTCATTGTTATTTCTCCAACAGCCAGCGCTGGAGCAGTAGCGGACGAGGCGAGCGTAGAACAGATCATGAGCATGGGCTTCACGCGAGCACAGGCGGCCAAGGCGCTGGCGTCCACAGACGGCGACGTGGGCCGCGCCGTGGACTGGATCTTCAGCCACGCGCACGAGCTCGACGACGCCGCGCCGCCCGCGCCCGACCGCACGCTCGGGTGCCGCGATGGACCAGAAAGTGAGTTGCGATTGTTTTAACGCTGTCATGCAACGCGATTACGAATTTCTAAAGTTGGTCATGTCGTAAAACTCATGAGACTTCTATAATTACTATGCCAATGTTTGCCATTATCTGAGCTAATAAAATGATGTTTTCCTCAGAATACAAGCTGATCGCCTTCATCTCGCACATGGGCACGTCGACGCAGGTAGGCCACTACGTGTGCCACGTGCTGCACGAGGGCCGCTGGGTCATATTCAACGACAACAAGGTATGTACTCTTCATAAACATAAATAAATAAATAAATATAAATAATAAATATCCTTGGACATTTTACACTGCGCCTCTAGTCCCAAACTAAGCAAAGCTTGTACTATGGGTACTAGACGACGGGATAAACATACTTAAATACTTTTTTTTTGTAAATACATACATATTACACATAGAAAACCCCAGACCCGTCACAGAAATTAAAATTCATCATTTTCAATTTCTGCCCGGCCGGGAATCGAACCCGGGACCTCTCGGCATAGTAGTCCGTTCTGAACCACTACACCAAACGGCCGACTAAAACAAACATACTATCAACATCTTTCATTAAATGGATACCATGAAACTAAGAAAATAGTAGAGATAATATCAACATGTGATTCTGTCATTTTGTGTAGAATAGTTAGAAATTTAATTTTATATCCATTTCTCTTTTGTTGCAGGTTGCTCTCTCAGAAAATCCTCCCAAAGATCTTGGATATTTATATCTCTATGAAAGGCTGTGATGTTAACAGAATGTGAAATAATTGTACCAAAAATCGCTGGCATGATTTTATGGAGTAAGAATTTAATGTCTTAGACTGCATATTATATGTGTAAAAAATGTTTTAAGAGATTTTAAAATGACTACTTTTTAGGCGATATTTATTTTATAGAAACAAATTTTTAGACATTTCAATTAGGTTAACAAATTTTTTATCTTGTCTAATCAAAAGTGGTTGTTTTTGCATCTAAATGCATTTTTGTTTGCAGTTATTTTTTGTATATTTTTAACAGGAGATGTGCAATGTTTAATTGTTTGTCACACCATATTAACAAGGAAAATATCAGATGAATTTGAAAAGTTGATGTAACTTTTGATGAACTGTTTTTTTGCCATAGGCCATGCTTACTGTACTGTGTAACTCATGCTTAAACAAGTTTTCTGTGTACCTAATTGATTCTCAAGAAGCAGTGTTTCATTTGATGGCACCCGCTCATTGTCAGGGTGCTTGCCCATGTAACATTCATGGTTATTAAAAGGAAACAACGAAAAGTAATAAATTATTACCTTAAGTTACATCTTTCAATTATATCCCCACTTATTTTTAATGCAGAGCAACAAACAAAATTATATTTACTGATAACTAAATATTTTATAAATTTTGCAATACTAAGGTATGGATTATTCAATAAGAAGTTGTAAATACTTTCTACAGATATTAATTTATTCCAACCAAAATATTTACATTAATTTACAATTTGTCTATCGCTTCCATTTGTCATTCTGATCAGGTATCCGTTTCATGAATATAGTTTTCTCATCATAGTATGTGTTGAACTTTTTGTGATCTCTTCTCTTTCTGGGGTCCTTCTTGCACCCTGCAGGAGTCAGATTTATCATCAAACCTGGAAAAGAAGAAGACTTCAATCTTGGTCCTTCCATATCTTTTGTAAATCTAGTTTCAAATGTGTATAGCAGGGCGTTGGGTTATATTACTGTAGGTTGACCAGACAAGCATGAGCTCTACATTTGTGCATACAAATAACAACTTGTATTATGGCAAGATATTATTTTGTTACAAAGATACTGACCTGCTTTTTGAGCCATTGAAACCATTTTGCCTATTTTCTTCTGCTGACGGCTACACAATTGAGTGATCCTCCGTGGAAGCATACATCCATCAGATCTTACAAACTGGCTCAATATTAGGACATCAGTGTGTTTCACGTCCAATCCAAGAGCACACATATAGCATGGCTTCTTTCCTGAACTATCATCGTCACAGTATGATGTGGGTAAATTGAATTTCTCCGCTCGAACTAGTAGATCCTGGCGTGGAGATGGCAGCGTCACAGCCTCTACTACTAGAGTTGTACCTTCTTTATGCTCCCGTACTAGAAAAACAACACAAAAATGAAAAGAACCCCAATAACAAATGTGTAGAGGTTATGTTCACAAAATGTAAATTACAAGAATAAGATATAGCCTAATACATACTTTCTTTAATATTTAGTGGTGTCGTAGTCGAAAGTGAACGTATAGAAGTCGATAAAATCGTATTTTTGAGAAATCCAAGTCTAGTGCGAACCAACGCCGCCATGATTGTTGTTGATCTTTCGCAAATGTCAAAAAACGTTTTGTTTCTTCACTACTTTTGTACATTCTTGAGTACTTAGTAGAAAATATTTGTAAATTATATGGCAACACTTACACTAGGGTTTGAGGGTCATTTCCGGTCTTACCGCGCCATTTTTAAAATAGTTTATATTTACGGTTTGCGGACAAACTCGATATAGTAGCACCTGTGGTGTTTTTTTCTTTTCCTGTATTTTATGGTTATCTATTTTTTTTTTAATATTTCTATTAATGACGTAACTACTTAATTTTATGACAAATCACAACGACAAAAACTAAATCTTTATCATTATTGTATGAGGCTGTGAAATGCCATACTTACTTCCAATTAAAGGGGCTTTTTTAGTTAATGAAATAAATATAGTAATATAATATAAGTATTTATTAAATAAGCCATTGACACGGATAAAATATTTATATGACATCATTTATATTTAAACAAATAACAATAAAATATTAATACAATAATAGTAAAAAATTTAAACATTGCGTTTGCGCTTAAACATTTAAAAAGCAGTAAAGTGTAAAAGGTAGTCAAACTACCTTGAAGAACAACATGAAGAACCATAAAATCTGTTGGCAATAAAAAATAGACTGCCGAGCAGTACGTGAATCTGTGTAAATAGTTTAATAAGATAAATAAAAGCTATTGAACAGTGTAATATTCTTCCAAAAGCTGAAACATTCTTAGTAACAAAGATATTAAATACTTCTGCGAATCCGATCACCTACGTAGTTATATCCAGTATAACAATTTCCAAGGCCTTCAATGGACGGTAAAGCGAAGCATTTTTTCTGAATTTGGAATTTGAAATGCATGTGAAATGCAAAACAAACTGAAATAAAAACCTTACTTACAACTAAACTTACCTACTTGTACGATCATATACATTTTTATAATGTAAGATAAAATGAGATTGCATTTTTGTGAATTAACATACCTAATGTTTATTTACGATTTTGAGGTATACAAACCATTAAAATGCTTAAAAATAAAACTTAAGATACATTGTTCGCGATGTTGGTGTTACGCAACCTCCATTCTGTGTTAGGCAGACACTTAATAAAATACAATAAATTGTATCATTATATCAAAACTTAAAGACAATGTGCAAGTATAAACAAAGATTAATGTGTGTATTCGGAAACTAACGAGAGACAAATTATAAATATAGTAAAATAACATTCAAGGTACGCAAAATAAATGAAAATTTAGTAACTTAATAGACTTAAAATGGTAAAAAAATACCTAGGAGAATCTAAACAAAAATGGAGCACAAGTCATATAAGGGTCTACTTGTCATAACCTATGTTAGTTTCCGTATACACATGGCATGCAGGCTCGGGGAGGGTTCACTTGGGGAAGGTGGCCAGCCCTTTGCTGAGGAGCCCTGCGGCGCCCTGCGCGCCGTCATGCGCTGCCGTCGAAAAGTTGGTCACCAACTGGAAGAAAACACGAGAGAATTTAGTTTATTTTAGTGGGCAACCCTACGTTGGTGGCGGTGTTATTGTTAGGCGTACGTCAGCGTCAAATAGTTTTTGATACCTAAAATAGTCAAAATGTTCCAAACACATCTTTGTTACAATTAATTGGATTTGATCACTGAGTGTCACGAACTATTTGACGCTGACTAAGTATTTACCTAATTTATAGGTATGTATGTTTCGTTTCATGAGCCATCCTACAAACTGCTATGAACGGAAATGGAATCTCATCTCATGACGTTTATAGTGAAATGACTAATATTATGACGTTGCTACCAATCCACTTAGTTACTTCTGGAAGCGTCTTTCCTGTATAATTCCGTGAAACGATTCCGAAATGAAAACTGCCACGTAACTTTGTCTAAGGGGTCAGGTAAGAGAACCATCAATTGGAAAAAGCTTACCGTATCTCTCTTACTGGCTGAGGAACTTTTCAGTGTCCTTGATCTTAGTGTGGGTGGGAAGCTCCACTCACTTCAGCATGGTGTCTTAGGGGGGCAGATATGATCTAGCATTGAGGGGTAAATTAGACCAAGCAGTGGGAGCAGCTTACCGTATCTCTCTTCTCGCTGAGGAACTTGTCGGCGTCCTTGAGCTTGGAGTCTACGACATGGCCGGCGTTCTTGAGGCCCTCGTCGGTTTTGAGTTTAACTCGCTTGAGGGTGTTGTCGAAGGTATTTTCTAGGGAGACAGGGAAGTCCCAACAGTAGGGGCAAAGAGCAACCTAGAGAGAAGGTGTTGTCGACGGTGCTGTGTCTAGGGAGGTAGATAGGAATCAACAGTGGGGACCAAGAGAGGGCTTACCGTATCTCTCTTCTCGCTGAGGAACTTGTCGGCGTCCTTGAGCTTGGAGTCTACGACATGGCCGGCGTTCTTGAGGCCCTCATCGATCGCATGCTCCACTCGCTTGAAGGTGCTGTCGACGGTGCTGTGTCAAAAGGGAGCAAGTAGGATTTAGCAGTAGGGGCAGCTTACCGTATCTCTTTTCTCGCTGAGGAACTTGTCGGCGTCCTTGAGCTTGGAGTCGACGACATGGCCGGCGTTCTTGAGGCCCTCGTCGGTTTTGAGCATAACTCGCTTGAGGGTGTTGTCGAAGGTATTTTCTAGGGGACAGGGAAGTCTCAACAGTAGGGGCAAAGAGCAACCTAGAGAGAAGGTGTTGTCGACGATGCTGTGTCTAGGGAGGTAGATAGGAATCAACAGTGGGGACCAAGAGAGGGCTTACCGTATCTCTCTTCTCGCTGAGGAACTTGTCGGCGTCCTTGAGCTTGGAGTCTACGACATGGCCGGCATTCTTCAGGCCCTCGTCGGTGGCGTGCTCCACTCGCTTGAAGGTGCTGTCGACGGTGCTGTTGACGGCGTTGGTTGCATCGGCAGCCGCCTTCTCTGCTGCCTTCTTGGACTCTTCTAAGGCGATGTCTGAAGTGAATAAGTAATGTTTTTGGTCCTACTAAAATGCTCTTTCCTCATAATGGAGGTTGCACGTGATAATAATGCAAGACCGCGTTGAGATTATAGTGATTTTTGACTTGATTGCTCGATTCCGGTCGGTGTAAGTTTTGAGCCAGCTTGTTTAAATAAAGTACTGTGTAGATTTATCGATGGACACATCATCGTATTTTTGTCAATAAATAAAAACAAAAAATACAATTATTCAGGAACTGCTTTTATTGCATCATCGCTGTATTTCGGTCATTCTCACGATAAGGCGTTCTCTGCCTAATTACCATATCATTTTTTAAATTTGGCTTAATTGACTTAAACGCATTTAAATATGAAACACGTGAAAAGTACGAATTTAACAATCGTTAAGGCGTCAAATTATTCAAAGCGGTTTTCACATAAATGAGACCCAAAAATTTTATGGTCACGGTAATTAGATAAGGCTAATACTTGATCTAACGCTAATTAGAAAAAATATGTAAAATAGCAAGAAAACAATATCTTGCATTGACAAATTTGTATATAAATATATAGCGTCATAAAAAACGCTGTAGGTACACTTAATAACCATTTGAAAAAAGGAAAACACTCATTTCTATTATTTATTGTATCAAGACATTTTCAGTATACTGCAATAATCGAGGCTATAACAGGAACACTTAGTTTCGGCCAGAAAGGGGCTACGTGTCACATTTGATCAGAATCTTAATCATAATTTATTTGATTTCAATGTGGTACAAACGATTTAACGTACAGATAATGGATCAGGAGATCTCACAAATTTGATTTTTCGGATATATATAATATCGAAAAATGTATTAATGATTTAAGTGATTTTTCCTCTTTTTAATCTATCTGCGATCAGCCATCACCCATTATCAGATTAAATTGAATTTGTAATAATGACAGTTCCAGCTCAGCATATCCCATGATTTGTCACCTCGATTCTTTTACAATAAGTTTTCAGATTGATGCTATTCGCTTTCTCCTGAGCCTAAATGCAGAATTCTTAGAATTTAGAAGGGATGCAGCAAATAGATTTTATGAAGGTCTAGTCTTTGGTTGTAAGATTTACAGGATTTTCCACACCCTCTTTGACGTTTGGTATCACTTCAGTGGACTTTGTAAACCAAGGTGCACAGCTCAAGATTTTTAAAACTTTATTTTGAAAACGTTAAAGTATTTCTACATTTGCNAGACAATCTTTTGTACTCTTTAAAATGTTGAATGGAGTAAACCAAATCTATACGACATAAAAATTACAGCCAAGTTTTAACATTAAGTGGGTGTGCGGACGCGTAACGGTAATTAGAGAACAGAGGTTCATGAAATTAATTAAGTCACAAATACTTAAAATAGAGGCCTATGATTTAATGCACAACTGGATAGGGTTGTTAAGTAACATATAAAAATACTTGCATGTCTCTAATTTGTCATTTTTAACGATTTAACAGCCCGGACACGAAAAAACTAGCTCATCTGAGAATGGCCGATTTAAATTATTCAATTATTTTATAGAATGTTAAAATAGACAAATTACTCGTATTTCGACATCGTAAAACTTGTTTTTATTACGGCTTTTAAAACACGTCACCATAACAGACTTATTGGCCGACAATGAGTTGAATTAGGAATTCCTTTGAATTTATTAAATTCTTGGACGTGTAAAAGTGCTTATAAAAAGCCTATTTGCAAAAATAAAATGAGTTTTATTTAGGGTTAGTACTCACTGGCTGCCCTCTTGGCCTCTTCCTTGGCGGCCTCGGCGGCTGCCTTGGCCCTCTCCTTGGCATCTTCAGCTGCCTTCATCGTCTGCGCCTTCGCATCCTCGGCTGCCTTCTTCGTCGTGTCCATGGTCGTGTGGATGGCATCTGAAGAGAAAATATTTATAAGAATAACATACACAAAAACGTCGTTTAGCATTAGTAGGGTTTTTTAGAGATTAGAATCGCTCATTTGTCGTGGGTTATTTCAAAAGACACACACTTCGCTTCAATAAATATAAATATAATCAGTTAGCCTTACACACTCAGTAACTAAAGGTTACAATATAAAATTAACAACACAAATAAACTTTTCAATGGAGAGATGTGTTTAAAAAGTTTGTCATTGTAAGCGGGTCAGTTAATCTTGGACATTAGACATATTAGTTTCATGAAAGTAATTATATTCACTGAAGAAAATCTGTTTAGATCGCTACTGCAATCCAATGCGCTAATAGTTTACCAGTAGATTCTTCAACTACACTCTTTGTGCCGCTCAGGGTAGAGTTTGCCGCTCATTTAGTAGCATCGAACTTAGTATTAATCAGACTAGAAAATATTCGCTAGTTAAACTCAAGCAAGAATAACAATTGCACCGATTACCCATTGATGTCTTAATGAAAGACTTCTGTCTCAATTGAACAATTGTTATGGCGCCAAACTCTATTATTAACGACCTGTAGTCTGTCACCTATCTACCAGATTAATTTGTCAAATTTTTTCAACTAAAAATAAACAAGCAGGGAAAATACTACGTTGTTACTTACCTGAAGAACATTCAGCTATTTCTTCAACTTCGTTCTCGATCTTTTCAAGAGACTCTGAGGTGCTAAATAACGTGCTTGTTACTGTATCTACGGAAAAGTTAGTGAGAGTTAAAGAAAAAAAGCAGAAAATTAGAAAAGAAAACCACATGCAACCCAAGAAATGCCTTAAAATTAATTAGGTTATGCTAGTTGTGTAAGTTGGTAGATTTTTTCTATCACACCACAAATTCATACAATCAGAATAATAATATCAAATTGTTAAAGTTTAACCATTTCAGACATTGTACGAAAACTGAAGCCTAAAATTAAGCATTATTCAACTGCAATTTGCAATCGTACCTATCTAAGAGTATAATGACGTCACACAGCAAACAATCACAAAACGAAAAACATTATTATTTATTTTTGGCTGACCTTTGGCTGACCCTACAAAAGCAGAGCTTTTGTCTACTGCAGATGAAGCCACATTTTTGGTTGTGTCTACAGTGCCTGATACAGTGTTTGCTACTGTGTCTACAATTAATAAATCATAGTAATTAACAGAACAAATAATATTAAGTAAAAGCAACTGATGAATGATAACCAATGATAACCAAAAGATAAATAAGTAATAAAGTATACCTTTAGCAGAATCAAAGAAACTTGCGCCCTTGTCTACTGCTGAAGCAGTGAAATTTTTGGTTGTGTCTACAGTAGCCGATACTGTGTTTGCTACGGTGTCTACAAGAGTAAATAAAATGATTAAAAATAATCATCCTACTAAGTACAAGTTCGCAAAATAAAAGCATTATAATACCTTTAGCAGAGCCCACTAATGATGTTCCTTTGTCAAACGCGGACGAAGCAACATTCTTAGTTGTGTCTACAGTTGCCGATACAGTGTTTGCTACGGTGTCTACAACGGTAAATAAAACGATGTAAATAAATATTGCTTTAATTATAGGTAAGATGAACCTCTAAATGCAAATTAAAAGCATAAAATACCTTTAGCAGAGCCCACTAAAGATGTTCCTTTATCAAACGCGGACGAAGCAACATTCTTAGTTGTGTCTACCGTTGCTGATACTGTGTTTGCTACAGTGTCTACAATAAAAGATAAAACGATACAAATAATAAATATTCCTCTCATAATGGGTATGAACCAGTATGAACCTTTAAATGTAAATTAAAAGCATAAAATACCTTTAGCAGAGCCTACTAGTGATGTGCCTTTGTCAAATGCGGACGAAGCAACATTTTTGGTCGTGTCTACTGTGGCGGATACAGTGTTTGCTACAGTGTCTACAAATAAAAGGAAAATAAAACTATAAGAATAAATCTTCCTATCCTAATGGATATGAATCTTTAAATGCAGATGAAAAGCTTACAATACCTTTAGCTGAGCCCACTAATGCTGTTCCTTTATCAAACGCGGACGAAGCAACATTCTTAGTTGTGTCTACTGTTGCCGATACTGTGTTTGCTACAGTGTCTACAATAGACAATAAATAACGTGAAATTAAACTTTGTATTATGAAAAGCTTTTACAATTTGAAACCAAACGTAAAAATGATGAAATTGTAATGGTAATGAATGAAATTGATAAATTTTACCTACCTTTGGCGGAACCTACTAATGATGTGCCTTTCTCAAATGCAGAAGAAGCAACATTTTTAGTTGTGTCTACAGTAGCTGATACTGTGTTGGTGACAGTGTCTACAATAAATAAAAAATAAATAAACAAAAATACAACCAAACTGAATTATAACTCAGGAATACTGAACTTTATTACCTTTGGCTGAACCTACAAGGGATGTGCCTTTCTCAAATGCGGATGAAGCTACATTTTTGGTTGTGTCTACGGTGTTTGATACGGTATCTACAAAAATATAGTACGCAGTTAATAAAAGCATAAAACAAAAACTAAAGATGAAATTTATGACGATAAATTATACCTTTAGCAGTTCCTACCAGTGACGTGCCCTTGTCTATTGCGGCCGCTGCTACATTTTTGGTTGTGTCTACAGTCGCCGATACAGTGTTTGCTACGGTGTCTACAATAGTTAAAATAATAATAAACAAAAGAAAATAGAACAAATAAAACAAACAAAAGTAAAAATAAACAATTTTGTAATACCTTTAGCCGTGCCTACTAATGTAGTGCCTTTTTCTACAGCGGCAGCGGCAACATTTTTAGTTGTGTCTACAGTAGCCGATACCGTGTTCGCTACGGTGTCTACAAAGAATAATTAAATAATAAGGATATATCAAAACAACATAAAAAGCTTTTTTAAATGCAAATGAACATCAATGACCAACCTTTGGCAGAACCTACTATGGATGTGCCTTTTTCTACTGCAGCTGAAGCCACATTTTTAGTTGTGTCTACTGTGGCAGATACGGTATCTACAAAAATAAATACACTACAGTAATGAAAACCAGTCCAATGATTCTATGATTCATGTACAAATATCTACCCAGTGTATACCTTTAGCAGCGCCTACAAGTGATGTGCCCTTTTCTACTGCAGCCGAGGCCACATTTTTGGTCGTGTCTACTGTGGCAGATACTGTGTTTGCTACGGTGTCTACAATAAAAATAAAATAAAAAGTATTTTTGAAACCAACAAAAAACAAAAAAAACAGTGATTCTATGTATCTACCTCTAGCAGTGCCAACTAGTGATGTCCCTTTGTCTACTGCAGCTGCAGCTACATTCTTAGTTGTGTCTACAGTGGATGATACTGTGTTTGCTACGGTGTCTACAAAATTTGAACAAAAATGAAAATAAAGTACTAAATGAGAAAATAAATGTATAGTCAAGGTCATAAACTGTAATGTTATTTTACAGCAGTTTTGAGATAATAATTTATTTACTAAGCCATAGGGAGTAAGCACCAAAAATGTGAAGCGTTTTTTGGTTTATTTACCTTTAGCAGTGCCTACTAACGTGGCACCTTTGTCTAAAGCCGATGATGTGAAATTCTTTGTCGTGTCTACGGTAGCTGTCACAGTGTTTGCTATAGTGTCTACAGAAGCAGAATGAATTAACATTAAATGGTTTATTTACATGAATTTGATAAACATATAGGTAATGATACGGGTAAATTAACACAAAATGGATGACAACTTGACAGTGGAAACATAAATTAGCACAATAACGTTAATGAACTTTGAAACCTTTGGTTGCTCCAGCGATTGAAAGTCCCTCATCGTAAGCCGAGGTCGAGACATTCTTCGCCGAGTCTACTGAGTTTGCAATCGTATCTAAGAAATGAAGGTCACGTAAAATACCATCCATTGTAAAAGTCAAATATTCCTATTTCGACTACCACTCGTCCATTGTCATCCAGACCATCCAAAATCCTACCACACTGATTTGTGTCTGTCTATTCTATCTACTCGTAGTATAATTACAATCAGCTGGTTAAAATTGTAAATAAGTTAAACATTGTAGTCAGGTAGGGTAATTTTTTCTAGGTAGGTTTCTAAATATCTGCCTAAAGTTATCTTTATTTATATTGTTTTAAAAAAATGCCTACCTTTAGCACTGCCCACTAACTCAGTTCCTTTTCCAATGGCAGATGCTGTGACATTTTTAGTTGTGTCAACTGTGCTGTTCACCGTGTTCGCCACGGCATCTAAAATTGTTTCCCACGTAATTATATTGCGTGTCTTAGGTGTTTAACACAAGAACAACATTACTCAAGTTCCTATACCAATAAAATTGCGATAATAACTTAATGATTGTTTTCCTGAACAAAACAAAAACTATTATTATTAAATGGTAAGTTAATAATAACTTCCTATCGCTAATTTTATTTAATGCTGCTATTTTAATTAACAATTAATCTATTTCTGATTTAGAACGTGTAATGAATGATAACTATAAATACCTTTAGCGCTGCTAACGTATGTTTTGCCTGTATCCACAGTAGAGTTTACAACATTTTTCGTGGTATCGACTGTGTTTTGGTACGTGCTTGTAACGGCATCTACAAAAGTACAATGAACTAAGGAAAAAGCAACAAAACAAATGTGAAACCAAATTCAAATTAATGATAAATACCTTTGGCGGAATCGACGTACGATTTCCCTAATTCGACTGTGTTATGGGCTGCATTTTTAGTGGAATCTACCGTACTGGCTACAGTATCTACAAGGGAAAATACAACTTAAAAAATTAACAAAACAAAAAAAAAACAAAAGCTGACGAAAACAAAACACTGATAACTGTCAAAGCAACGTGTCCTACCTTTAGCACTATCGAAATACGACTTTCCAACGTCGTAAGCGGAATAGGCGGCGGTCACCGACGCATTCAGAGCCGATTGCAATGAGCTTTCTGCTGAATCTAAAAGCGAGGTTTAGACTAGCAACAAAACTTGCAGAAATTGACTTCCTCAAGCTGTCACCACTGTATATATCTTGCAGAAGTTGGTTTTCCACAGCTATTTGCGTAGTGGTAAACAGCTTGTTGAAGTCAATTTCTGCAAGTTTTATCGCTAGTCTAAACCGCGCTCAAAGCGTTTAGTTGGCAAACAAACAAAGGGTTAATAACGGGGTGCAAATAAAGGACACAACTCGCAGATACCTTTAGCACTGTCTACGAATGACTTGGTAGAGTCGGCAGCGTATTGCGCTGTGTTTTTGGTGCAATCGACAGTAGAGTTTACTGTATTTGCAATTGTATCTACAATATTAACAATGTTATTTACGTATTGTGATAGATTTCTCTTAGAAATTCTACTATGCTAGATTGCTAACACTATCTCAAACTAGATTTTAGTAATCTAGATATTGTTTAAAGGGGAAATGAAAATTTACAATGACTTAAGGAGGTAATGGTCCGATTTAGGAAAGTTACTTAAATGTATTACTTATTATACCTTTAGCACCGGTAGCAAAAGATTTGCTCGTGTCAAATGCGCTTTGTGCGGTCTTTTGGGTGGTGTCAATTGTGCTTTGGGCTGCGCTTGCGACTGAATCTAGGAAATCAAAATAAACAGCAAATAAAAATAGCTGAAAAATATAACAAAAAAATAAAATAATATGAGGGAAACCTATATAAATTCTAGAAAGTAGAAAGGATAACGAACTTAATACTGAAATAGGCGAGGATGGATTGACTAACCTAATACATCGAAGGGGTAAAAGCAAGAGAAACTTGCCAAGAACGTGGGAGGAAAATAACGGAACAACATGACGGCAGGAGACGTGTTAATGATCCGAGGTATTGAACCTATGCACAATTTTTTGTCGATAATGTAAACAAACACCTAACGATAAAACATGAGGTTACTAAACATAAATACTTTAAAACCTTTCAAGTAAAGCTTTAGATACATTAGAGAGAAGTCTCAGAATATTATTGTTCATCAAATCGAACCACAAATCATCACAGTTATAGGCATCGCAAAATATGGCCAACTTGCCAGTAAATAAAAAAAATGGTTCTTCATTTGGCCCGTAGTAGCTCGCGGATAGAGCTTTAAAGCTTTAAGTTACGGAATGGCTGGGCTAGACCTAATCAAGCTTCAACGACGATAAACGTGTACATAAATATGTCTTATTAATTACCTTTGGCGCTCCCAACATACGACAGACCTGTGTCCACAGCTCCCTGAGCGGTGCTCTTGGTAGAGTCCGCGACGCTACAGATACCATCTACAAAGTGCAATGCAACAGTTAACAAGCAAGTGCTGATAAGTTAAGAACTACAGTGCTTAATAAGAAAAAGTTAGAAATAAGAAACATGCAGTGTTTGTGAGAAACAAAACAAGTTATAAAGATAATTAAAGTAGTGTAAAGGAGCGTTGTAAGGAAGGAAATAGAGTCTCCTTCAAGGCTATAATGATCACTTCATCCTCGAGGTTATTGGAAGACTACGTAGAGTGTGATCTCACCTTTAGCTGTGTTCACCGCAGATTCGGCTGCCTTCTTTGAGTTATCAACTGTGGTTGCAAGTGTATCTACAAATAATAAAAGTGCAATTATAGCTACTTATGCAATACATTTCATACTAAAAATACTACTAAAGGACTGGTGTACAAGAAGTTGAAAGATTTGATTTTCCAATTTTAGAAAGGTACTCGTAACTAAAAATTAGGTTTGGCAGACCTTATTGATATGATGCTACTTTCTATGGGACTACTCTCTAAAGTACTAATTGATCAAGCCCAAAATCATCAAAAATAAGTGCTCAAACTACTCTGCTACCAATTTCTAACTACCAGAACTACCTTTCCACGTCCCAGGATGCTGGTGCCTTACCTTTAGTGGTGTCTACGGCCTTCTTGCCATCAGCCACGGCGCGGCTGGCGGCATCTTTAGCCTCTCCTGCCGCCAGGGACACCTTTGACATCTCCTTGTCCAGGGCATCAATGGCTGACTGCTTGGCGTTGGCAGCTGGGGACAAATGATAGTGGTTTAGGATAGTAGGATAAATCTCACAAAATGCTCTATCACCTACTCGAGGCTTAAAAAAATAGGTGACAGAAGTGATAGAGGTCCTCAAACTCAGTCGATCTACTTGATAGGGAAAACAAAAATTTGTATAGGTTTGTGCCCTGAAATGGGCTCAATATGGTAATCAAGAATTTGAATTTGAGACCGTGCTACAACCTAAAACCTATTTTCGATGTGATTTCATCTTTACTAAGACTTAGAATAGCGCGCTTGATAAGGAAAACACTATGTAATTTAGGAATATAAAACGGTTTATCAGATGGCTCTAACACGAGAACCTGAGGAGGTCGACCTCGAGTGTTCAACTCAAACAAGGCTGCTTAGCCATTCTAAATCCAGGACTTGGGGTGAACGACACTTATAATAAAACAACAAGCCCCAATAATCATATTCGTTATAATTTCGGAATTTTATTGGTGTCATTAGTGTCATTGCGCAGTTAAATGATAACTGATCACGCGCAACCGAGGTAGGTAAAGCAAGTAGGTTTCTATAAATGGACTCCAATTAGTATCTTAATAGCATTGTTGCGCAATCAATGTCAGCCAAAAGGTTAAGAATGAGACAGTAGTCCACGTTAATACACTTTTGTTTTTAAACGAAATAGGACAAAAACAAGTCTAAAGTCTGACGCTACCTTTCCTTTGAAGAAATACAAGGTAATGTTTATTTATAAAATTTTATTCATCAAGAAAGAAATCTTTGATGATTCAAGAATTCGCATGAATCATTCATGCTTACATTATCAATTAGTACAACCAAATCGTTAACTCGATAAATGATTAGTGGAGCACTAACTAATTACTTAATCATCGGCTGCTGCGGGAAATTCTAGACAATCCATTAATTAAGTGCTACGCAGTCAATGTTGGAATACTTAATAGTGTAAGCATTTGGCTGAAAAAAAACGAAGAACTTGGAGTGCAGGTGTGGTTTTGTTCCTCAGTCGAAGAAGTACATGATGTCGTGCGCTGCGTGCCCAAACAACTGCTCGCAGGAAGATTTAATGAAGGCTACTGACAACGCCACTCTTGTAGCGGAGTTTTGGGCTGACACTGTGTAGGTTTGTTGACGAGACGACAAGAAGATCGAAGAACTGTCGTACTTACCACTGCCAGCAGCGTCCTCAGCGGTCTTCTGAGCGCCAGCGATGATCTCCCCGGTCTTCTTCACCTGTTCCTCCACCACGTGGGCGGCCTCCTGCGCCTTCTCCTGGGCCACCTGCTCCGCATCCTTCTTCTTGCGCTCGAAGAGAGACGCGGTCTTCTCTCCGATACTCCGGAACGCTCCTGCAGGGGTAGAGTCAGTTTTAGAATAAGTTATTTATTTATTTTATTTTTATTTTTAAGTCTGTAACACTGTGCATGGCATGTTGTTACGTAGCAGCATTTTGGTGTCATTTAGTCGGCCGTTTGGTGTAGTGGTTCAGAACGGACTACTATGCCGAGAGGTCCCGGGTTCGATTCCCGGCCGGGCAGAAATTGAAATGATGAATTTTAATTTCTGTGACGGGTCTGGGTGTTACTATGTATAATATGTATGTATTTAAAAAAAAAGTATATAAGTAATATTATTATATCCGTTAAGCTAGCACCCATAACACAAGCATATTCATTGCTTACTTTGGGGCTAGATGGCGCTGTGTGAGATTGTCCAAAGATATATTTATATTTATATTTCATTTGTAGGTACAGTTAGCGTCAAATAATTCGTGACTCCCAGTGATCAAAAAGTTGACAACACAACCTTATTCCAATTGAAACAAAGACATGTTGCGTACTTATTGTCTACTTTAGGTGTCACCGTGTCATGAACTATTTGACGCTGACTGTAACATGTTATTGTTGTAGCGTCGAACGTAACAATAAAAGAGGTTTTTTTGAGGAAGGTCCAAATCCAGGTACAGTCGTCAGATCAGACTGAATGTTTGTTCAAAAATAGCACCTATGGCAACTACATAACGCCATTATTTAGCTAAATGTGCCGCCATTTGTACATTGTGATGTATGTCGGTGTCAGTCAAGGTTAACTTCAGATTATGTCATTCAAACCTGGTATTCATTTATCATGGACATTCTGTGTCAGTTACAATTAATTACAGATTGAGTACTCCTACTGCTACTGGATTAATTACATAATACATCACAAAATTCATTAGGCCAGAAGTATTTAATCAGTAAAACAACCATTAAGGTCCATAAAATAATCCTGATAATATCATAGATGTACAAGATATAGCAATATATCCTTAATTTAGTAGAGCGCGTAATGTAGAATGGGCGGTAAAATTTAACGACAGGCTCCACCATAGCGGGGCTGGAGTAAACAACTTTAATAATGCATGACGGTTCGCACTCAATGCATCTGCAATTAACGCGGAATACATTTAACTCTTAAAAAGAAGTTCAAACAGCCAAGAGTTTGTGATAAGATAATTGGTAAGCCCTGAGTAAAAATTTAATAGTGACTACAAAAAAAGAAGTGACTGTCGTAGAACTGTACTCGTATATTGTTTAAGTCAAATAGGTATACTTGTAGATATCTACCTACTTTTCATAACATTTTTTAACTGAAAGCAACTAACTAAGTCGGGAAGAAGTAGAACCCATGATTTTCGCTTGGTAGAGCCTTTAAAATTCCTGAGGCAGTCAATTAAAATTGTTGGAAAACGGTTAAATAGTGACCTACATTCAACAAGATAACTTAATTGATGTTACTCAACCTATATTAATAATACAATGTCAACAAGATTATCTTAAATTAAATTGGTTTCTTAATTAAGATAAACTTTGACGAAGCAATAAAATATATCAGGAAATAATATAGCTTCTTTCATACTTTTCATCAGGTATGAGTATTTTGAAATTGCAACAATTGCTACAATAAAAATATTGTTCTTGAAATTTTATATTACTCAAATGAAAATAGGTATTATTGATTTCAGTAATCCTTAATTGTCGATTTATTAAATGAAAAAATCGCATTTATTAATTGAAATTACATTTCGAAATCGTTGAACTTTTAGAATAAAAATAAAAGTGCTAGAATAGAACGATAAATACAATAAATTACACGTAAGGTAATCTACGAATGACGCACTATTTAATAGATAAATCGATATAAATATAATATTATAGCCGTGAACTTGGCTCTGCGACAGCAACGTGTGACTGTTTATATTGATTTCTTGTGACTTTCATCGCGGTCAAGGTGTCTTTTAGCAATACTGTATTATTTCATAGTTATCAGGTGTTAAGTCGCATACAAGTGTTTTTAACTAGTTTGTACACACGGGAATATAACAAGATGTTGCACAAATAATTATATTATACATAACACAGGTATTTTTCACTGTAGATAGGTAGGCATACAATGGGGTTTCAAAGAAACCTGAAAACTCATACTTACTAGAGTTACTAGTTTTTATTTTAGACCCATGGAAACGTAAAGATATTTCGTGCAATTAAAAATAATTACTTGTTATTTTAATAAAATTTACATGGAAATTTTCCATGTACCAGTTTCAATTCAAGTCTCTAACAAGACACCACAAACAAGAAAGATTTATAAAAACAATCTTGAACTCACCAAGGTTCTTGTCTACCGGAATGCGTGTAATAAACATAAATACCACATTTAGATTTAAATCGTTCCAAAACCATGCGAGTATGTAAATATTTACAATCTACGTCTACGTGGTAAGTTTTACTATGCGAAAGAAAATGATCGAGGTCGGGCAAGGTAAATATTGTGTAGACCCGTATTCTAAAACGATACTCAGTTAAGCTTTTAAGAGTTTCAAGCCTTTGATTAGTCTAAAGATTGAATTTAAACCAATCACAGGATTGAGTAGTCGTTTCAGCATACAGGTCTATGTGAGTAAATTGACCAATAAAATCTATTGAAGTTATTGTGTCTATCTACAGGAATATTGTGTATGTGTGTTATTAAATGTGCGTCATGTAGAGTTCGTAGTACAGTCGCGGAATAAAAAGGTTCGTCACCTTAGTGTCGGTTTTCGCTTGCACTAGGTACTGTAAGAGTCAATCCTGCCAACATAACAGTGCAAGAAACAGTGCTGCTAACATTTAAATAAATATGACGTTTGCTAACGAATAAGGTTTTGCTTGTTTATTTTTCTATCCCATTAGTGCAATGCAATGATGACACTGACCAATTGACAATAGTTTTTTTTATTTAATAGAAACAATAATGGCAGGTTGAACCAACAAGAAGGTTTTAGTTTATCAATCATAATAATCTTCTTGACAAGTTAAATCGTCAAACAACTTTTATCTGAATAATTTTGAACTTTACTGACGAACAGTTAAAGATTATTTTGTCTAACTCGAGATTATTCTGTAACATAGTTTCAAAAGGTAATATTATTATGTGCTCGCGATTCGTTGAAGGAATCAATTTGAAAACTGACGAACCTTTTCATTCCGTGACTGTACATGCGATTGCAATTTATTATGTATGTACAAAACGATATGGTTTTTAGCCATTTTGGTAATGTGTTGCTCATGTAATAATAATCATGCAATTGATCTCTACATAAACTTGGCGATTTTGAAAGTTGCTACTGAACTCCCTCTAAAATTCCCCAACTACTTGCTAGAAGCGTATTTATTAGGCATCAAATTCATACTTAATAATATACTAGCTTAAAAATATCCATAGCTTTATCGCCATTTGCGTATTATTTCAAAGCAAATAAAATGAATATTTGATTGCTTTCATAGCGTTTTCATTGTGTAACTAGGTTTAAATACCTAGCAAATCATATGTAGGTATGATAATAAATTAGTAAAAAAGTTTTCGTAAAGTTTCCTAGGCATAATCGTAGAATAGTGTTCGTACTTTGCTCTTCATCTAATATCGTCATCATAGCCATTCACACGTCATTATCGTGCGGAAAAAATAAAAGACGAATGACTCTAGATTCAGCACGTGAGTGGCGTGTCACCTCCGGGCATCGATCTCGGCCACTTGACACGGGAATAGCCACCACTCACTCGGTCAACCGGCCGGGGGTAGGGCTGCTAAAGCAGTTCGACTATTTTTATTTATTTATAATGTATATGTCTTCTCTTTGTTTGTCTTTGAAACTTGACGGTTATTGTGGATAGAAAACGAATGATATGATTTTTATTGCGCTTGTAATCACTAGTAATTTTTATTATTTCCTCAATAAAAAAATAAATAAAGAGGAGTGTATTACATCAAAATTAGTTTATTCCTAGTCTAGTGTGATGAACGTAAACATAATCAATATTGTCATAATAGTATATCTTAAAATCATTACATGTGCAGCCACTATATAGACTTTTAAGGTATCTTATAAGATACAGAACATAAAAAGAGTGGTTCAAAAAAAATCTAGAGTAAAGAGATTCTGTGGCAGTTGATCAGTTGTAATATCAACCCAAAAAGTAGTATGTATCAACCCCCCTGAAGAATAAACAATTATAAACTCATTATCACTCATCTGCCCGCCACATGCGACCTACATTCTAAAATCAAATGAAAGGTTGACAACCCTGCCTGAGAGCAACGCTCGTTGTTTGGCAACCTAGCATTGATGTGACCCAAATAACTCAGGAAGCACTCGAGGTAGTCTTTAGGTACGTAAGTAAGGCACTCCCTTCGAGGGGCCGTTCCCTACAAGTACCTTGCATCTGGCTAATGTTTGATATTGCTAAACGTTTTAATATTTTTGAAGCGCTTGCGCAATTTGTGCGTATGTTGCAAAAGAAGATGTATTTATAATCGCCCTGCACACATGAGATCTGAAGGAAAATTGTCTATGGAGATGTCTCTAGACATATGGATAGACAGTACAATATTTTATTATTATACAGTAAAAATGTGGTGGAAACCAATAACTCAAATGCTAAGTTTCGAAAAAAAGAGTAGGGTAGGTATATAGGGTAATTTGTCACCGTTACGAGAACTACGAAATATGAAAGTGCTACGAGCACATGCTACGTGTCGTAGCGTGCTTTTAAGTTCAGCATTTTCATCGCTGTAAACTTTTGTATCAGTCGTAAAGGAAAGTGTCACATAATAAATAATAGCTGAAAGTTTAATATCAAAGCTGTATTGTATAAATTTTTCTCTCGAAATGAACATGTAATTGTATTTGCCACCGTCGCGATGAGTACAGTGTTATTGTGCTGATCAAAATACCCTACAATTACGTCATGTGTTCGTAATTTGTAATTCATTCAGTGATTCATTTGTCAATGTACATTTTTGATCGATTCAATTAGCTTCAAAATCATAGGTAACGCGATCGTGTTCAGAAGGTTAATGAAATAGTGAGAGCAGATTATCACTGAAAAAAATGTTTGGTTACTGCTTACACAACAAAAGTGACCACCGAACTAAGTGTTAACTATAATCAAACAAGTCTACCTCACTACATAATTATTTGTTTAATTTACACAACATTTTGTTCCTCATAATCAAAGTGTTCGGTGGTCACTTTTGTTAAAACTTTTGTTGTGTAAGCAGTAAACAAACATTTTTTTCAGTGTATTACAGCGAGTTTCTCACATTTGATCATCAAAGTACATTTGATAACAATTATTTGAAATAACCCGAATAGAACGAGCATTGAGCATTGACCTATAAATAGAGCAATCCAAAGTCCGCTGCGACAAGTAAACAACGAATGTTATGGAAAATTACAGACTGAAGGAAAACAAAGAACAATCATGAAATGCTTATGAAATTGCATCTTTGTGTTGAGGAAGGTCTATTTTCAGTATTTTTTTTGTTGAACTAAATAGAGGAATAATGAACTATGAATCTGTAAGAAAATTTCAGCAATTTCAGCTATAAACATAAAATATTTTATATTTACTGCCAATACAAGCGAAACTCTCGTTTAATATGATGTAATCCATTAAAAACATAAGAGAAACATGTAGCGCTCCCGACTGCCAGTCGCCCTACATTGTAGAGACCATAAAATGTCGATTACGCTTTGACGAGCTATAATGTAGAGTTAGTCGGTTATATGAATGTTAAGATTTTGGTTTACATAATCTGATGATACCTACAGTGGCTAAAGATGTCTGGGAACTTTGTTTATTAACATATAATTAAAGCTTGCCTATAGAAACTAGATACTCACTTCTATTATATTAATTTTGATTGACAAAGACGAAAATTACTTGCGATGCGAGTTCAATTTCTACTTATTTTTTTGTTAATTAGTTTTTAACAGATTGAGCTACACTTTTCCATATTTACAATTCCAAATGTGCATAAAAGTGACAAAATAAAATTGTTTATTGAATAAATTATGCCAAATGGTAGAGCCAATATGTTATCCACATCTTTGCTAAAAAAGGTTTTATTTGGCAAAGCCCATAGAAAAAACACAACAGATAACCAACCAATCAATAACCTTTCAGCCACCGTTTACTTAATACTACAGCAAGCAATAATCCGCCCTATACCATTCAATTAGTGCCTAGCACAAGGGTTCCCAATCTTTTTCATCCCGCGGCGCAGTTACAAAAGTATTTTCACGATGCCCTGCCCTTTGAAAGAGATACAGTCGAAAGAAATAGGCGCCTATAGTGATAGTTGATAGTATTAAGGTTAGGTAGATAGGAACAAAAATTAAAATATCTACATATTATCTACAACTAGCTGTGCCCGCATTCATACGCGTGAAAATAGTTAGAATAATATTTCCCGTTTTTGTTACATTTTTCTATAAGGAGATGTTAGGTATACAATATGCTTTCCTTTAATAAATGGGCTATCCAACACAAAAATATTTTTTCAAATCGGACCAGCGTATCTCTTCCTGAGATTAGCGCGTTCAACCAAACAAGTAAACTCTTCAGCTTTATAAATTAAAGTATAGATATGAAATTTTTGCGCACCCTTTGGGAACCTCTGACCTAGCGTCCCACCCGTGACCTACAGACCCGCTGCGATAGCCTTTCCAGCTAACTCAATTCGCGTAACGCAGTTACCGACGCCCGGGCGTCTGGCACCGCCCGGGTGGCATCGATCCACTAAACATACCTGCAGATATGATGGAAACTTTGTGAAAACAACTATTATAAAAGAATTAGTCAGCTTGCAGTTTTATGGAGATTGTAACTTGACTTTGGGAGGCCTTTGTCTAGCTGGAGGTCATAAGGTTGAAACAAACTAGACAACAATGAAAGAAATTTAAATTAACTCGGAAAATTAAACCGTAATCGTGAGACAAAGAAGCTGAGAATTTCTTTGCTGGGTAGCAACTTGTCTTTGCACAAAAAAGTGAGTATTTTTATTTTCTAAAAGATTTATCAATATAGGCGATATGGTCCAAAAAAGTAATTTGACCCAAAGCTCCGAAAGTCTCATAAAAATTTCGAAAATATTATGAACCTGAACTTAATATCTTCCATGCTACAAAGAGCCTGAGAAAGACAAAAGGCCGATCTTGAGAAAAATCTGTGGTTTTATCCTACTTAGAAAAACAAATGCCCTCCAAAATCAGGCAGGGGCATCTTGAGAGCTGCGTCTCGCGGCGACAGAGGGCGAGGAAAGGTGGAGTTGGAATCGATAAAGGTCACACAAACGTT